TAACACTTTAACAGCAAGGGTAGATAAAATGTTTTAACTTATTTTATACATTTAAATTTACAAATTTTATCATCCACGAGGTGGATCCGATTTACACTCAAACGAGTTAAATACAACATTTTATTCTTCGAATTAGACTCAACAAGGATTAAACTTGCTTTAAATCTGTTAAAAATAATGAGACGTTTCGTACTGAGAAATGCCAAAAATTGTATTTTTTTAAATTCTATTTTTTCTCTTAAATTTTAAGTCCTGCTATAGAAAAAATGTTGTATTATACACAACGATAAAGATTGTTTATCTACTCGTAAAATAAATCCACTCGTGAACTTAACGTTTTCACTCGTAGATAAACAATCTCTTTATCGTCTTGTATAATAAATAACTAGATATTAATTTGATTTTCAAACATTTGCAAGTGTCAGGTCATAAAAAAAATTAAACAAATCCCAAAATCTTCAGTACTTTTCAAACTTAAAAGCTGTTTATTAACCACTCTGTTGAGAAACCTAAAATCTTAATAAAAAATGCACAGTTTTGTTTAAAATCATTGCTAATTGTATAATTAATAAAAATCAAACTTTTTTACCTCAAAATTTTTATTATGTTTCTACAATTTTAATATTTTTAGAGTTTCGAATTTCTAAATTAGCTATTTTCAGTTTACTTTCAAAACTTGATAAGATCTTGATATAGGGTAAATCCGGGAGAGATAGACTTTTACACATCAGAATTTATTAATTTTTTTATGTATTTACGTTACTTTTATAAGTCATGTTGTAAGAACAAACATTCATGACTTGAATTTAAATAAGGATTGTACAGTATGTCCCGGGATTGAGTTTACAAGAAAAAAAAATCTTTGACTTTACGCCAAAACTGCAAAGAAAAAACATTTCCTTGCTTTACCTGAAACGAGCAAATCTGTAATTAAAACTTCATTATTCTGATTCAGTGAAGAGAAAAGTTAATTTTTTTCATGATTTTGGACTTTTTATCACAATGACGGTTTTATTTTTTTGACAACTATATGTCACTTTTAATTATTTTATTAATTGAATAATGATAGTTCTTGTGAAAAATTTATCTTAAAACTGTTTCTTTGAGTTGCCATTTATTAAAATCATGTTTTTCACAAACATTTTTGTTATTTAACTTGCGTAAACTCATTTTGTCAAAGTGACAAGTCCAAAATCAACAGAAAAATGAACTTTTCTTTCTACTGAGTTAGAATAATAAAGTTTTAATTACAGATTTGCTCGTTTCAGGTAAAGAAAAAAATGTTTTTCTTTTGCAGTTTTGGCGTAAAATCAAAGAAATTTTTTTTTCCTCTCTATAAACTCAATCTAGGGACATACTGTATAATTTTACAGCAGGTTTTTCAAAATGTGGTTCATCTCTCCCGGACTTACCCTATTTATTTTTTTCTAAAACACCCCCGATAGACTTGCTTATCGAAGTGTCCTATGACTTTGAAATTAAGTTGGCAACATGAACTATCAAACTCAAACGTCAGTAGTCATCAATTGTTATTCATTTCGACGGAGCGGCCATCACTTGACATAATTCAGGGTTGCCAACTCAATTTTAAAGTCACAGATCACTTGATCAGACATTTAATTGAATGTACGGTATTACACATACTGAAAGGAATCAAAATGTGCAGTTTTTTGTGTGTAAACCACCTGAGCGTAAAGTTATTTCATCATCCCCCCATCTAACAAAACCCTATAAGTTCTCTTGCAGTTGCCATTAAATGTTCCCATTACATTTCAGTGCACGTTGCTTGGAAATCACCATTTTTATCCATGACAACATTTCGACAATACTTGCCTCATTCTCGTCCCATTCTCTGGACAAGAGACGCCGGCCGTCCGATGCGATTCGACGCCGACGACGACTTCTGTAATGGCTCATATGACAATAGCCGTTAACAAAGAACCCGCTCGACCATTTTCATAAGCCATTGTAGTGAGGTCGCGGACACTGACTACACCCCAAACGCTTTATCAATATATTACGTTATCTGCGTCGATGCCCTCCACATGCTCAAAGAAAACCAAACTTAATTACTCCACTCGTTCTCATTAAATTTATAATTAAAACACGAGCGGCAGAAAAACTCCGGTACGAGCCGCGTAGCGGCGAGTTGATCGAGAAATGAATGGCCTTCTGAAACGAGTCTATTTTGCGCTACTCAAATTGCCACCACTTCCACTTCCCACCAAAAATTTCTTTTCTTTCGCGTAGATATCAAACGTATCTTTTTAATTAAAAGTCAAATTTTTCCGGAAGTAGGCAATTTGAGTAGATATTTTTTTGCGTTTTCATGTGGTCCAAGTGCCAATTGTCTACGTATTACGGTTCTCAAAATTAACTAGATGAAGTGTTCGAAACAAAGAAACTTTACGATTCTTTTTATCAGTTGTATGTTTGAGTACATAAAATTTGGTAAATGATTAGCTAAGGGTGTCAGCATTAATATACAGGCTGCGCCAGAACTCGCGCCCCAGAGAAAATTTTCAAGTAAGGTAAGATACCAGGAATATGAAATAAATGTTTAAAAAATTCTATCTGTCAAAAAATTTTGACGTTTGACATTTTTTTATTTCTATTTAAGGATACTGATGATCTTGTATATGTTTTTTTTTTATAATTATTTAGTAAAGGGACAAAAATTTTGCCAATAAAAGCCACAAATAACATTGAATAGAGTTACAATTTAGGATACAGCTTCCTTGTTTCCTCTTTTAATAGCCTATAGCAAAAAACTTGGAAAATTATTTTTCCAACAGAAATAAATAGAGTCAAAATGCAAACTTTAAACCCTCATAACTTCGAAATTTTTATAGATAAATTTTTTTAACATTTTTTCCATGTTCCTGGTATCTTATTTTATATGGCATTTTTCTCTGGGGCGCGAGTTCTGGCGCACCCTGTATAAAAAAATTAAAGTCGTATCTTTTACAATTTGTTTGATGTCTGTAGTTAAACTTGACCAAAAACAGCACTTTTTCGCAGAGCGCCACCTTAAAAAAATATTCGCCTCAGTTGGTAGTTCGAAAATTCATCCCGAACTGATATTTACAGTTTTACAGAGTACAGTTTTAAACAGAGTAAGTAATATTAAAGTCAACTCCACAAATCGATAAATTTTTATTTAGTCAAGTTGGGACATGTTTCGGCACCATTGCGCCATCATTAGCCTTTGAAAATTTATACACTTTAAAATAAAAAAAATTACAAGATTAAAAAATTACAATGTTAACTGTTAAAAGAATTTTCCTGATTATAACTAATGGAAAAATACAGGGTATTCCGTTTTTATTGTTACAAACTAAAACAGGTGATAGAATATTCAATTTTAAGACAAAAGTTTCCTATGAACATGTATGAAAAAATGTTACGTAAGCGAGCTACACCCCCTGAAAGGGATGCGTTTTTAATGAGGTTTTCCCACTATTGTACAATAGATAAAATTACAAGAGCTGATGACTTTTAAACACCTGAACGAATTTAAAGATCAGTTGTCGAAATTTTTAATCACGGGTCTCTTAAACGGTGAAACAAATTTAATTTTTAATTTTTTTCCTCTTTATGATCTGTAAGACAAACTGTAAACTGATTTACTCAAAAACGGTAAGTTTTATCGAAAAAACGCAAGAGACCTCTTTTTTGTGAAAAACTATGAAATTTAGAATTTTGTGGCTGAAAGTGGCAAAAACCAACCGCCAAAATAGTTAGGGTACTTTTTACTCTAAGCCCCCCAGTTTAGGACGCCCCTGAGTAAAAATTTCGACATTTTATCTTTGAATTCATTTGGGTGTATAATGGTTATCAGTTGTACCAAATTTTGTAATTTTATCCACGAAGGTTTTTGAAATATTGGAAAAAATCCATTAAAAGATGCACCACTTTCAGGAGATGTGGCTCCCTTATACAGGGTGCGCCACAACTCGTGCCCCAGAGAAAAATACCATATAAGGTAAGATACCCGGAACATGGAAAAAATGTTAAAAAAATTTTATCTATAAAAATTTCGAAGTTATGAGGGTTTAAAGTTTGCACTTTGATTCTATTTATTTGTGTTGGAAAAGTAATTTTCCAAGTTTTTTTTTTGCTATGGGCTATTAAAAGAGGAAACAAGGAAGCTGTATCCTAAATTGTAACTCCGTTCAATGTTATTTGTGGCTTTTATTGGCAAAATTTTTGTCCCTTTACTAAATAATTGTAAAAAAACATATACAAGATCATCAGTATCATTAAATAGATATAAAAAAAATGTCAAATGTTAAAAAATAAATGTCAAAATTTTTTGACAGGTAGTATTTTTAAACATTTTTTTCATGTTCCTGGTATCTTACCTTACTTGAAAAATTTTCTCTGGGGCGCAAGTTCTGGCGCAGCCTGTATGTTTATAGGAAACTTTTATCTTAAAATTGAATATTCTATCATCTGGTTAAATTTGTAAGAATAAAAATGGAACACCCTGTATACAGAAGGAATAGAATTTAAACATTATTCCTCTGTAAAAAAGTAAAAGTACGAGGTCAGTGAAGCGGAATTTAATTAAAAAAAAAAAATAGTCAACTTAAATTGTCAGTGTTGCCAATTATCAAGAATATTTTTAGAATTTGGATTCTTTCTGCAATGATGATTTAATTGCGCAAAATGAGTTTTCTTGTTAGACATTAGGTCATCCTGTCTGATTTCGCTTTTCATTGAAACCGCAAAAAGAACAAAATGACAATAATTTTTAGTTGCATTGTGTATTTTTTCTATAGAAGCAGCGAGTGGCCTCATCAGACAACAATCGAAACAGCGCTAATAAAATTCCATTCTTCATTAAATTATGATTTATACATAAAAGTGTCAATCATTTCCAACAAAGCAACAAAGAAAATCTTAACAATTGCTCTTCCCATTGTGCGTCGACATAAAGCAACAAGCACTTGCTAAACATTTTTTAATCAAGCACTTTCTTCATTTATAGGACTTACCCAAACTATTGAAAACCACGTCGAGAAGTGTAATCCGTAATTATCCATCAGGGATTCACACAAAAAATCAAAATCACAAACACAAACACCAGCACGTGAGCTGTCACTGGAAGCATGGTATGAGCTTTAGTCGCGCTTTCAACACATCCCCTTCCACGCACAAGTCGCGTCTTACTGACTGATTTCCTGCAAACAATGTTTAAATGTGGCGGTGGCGCATGCGTTTCATTCAATTTTTCATACAATACACGCGAAACAATAACAAAATTGATTAAAATTTTACCATTGTTGGGTAATTGGGATGCGGGGGAAGCAATTCAAGGGATGAAAATGAGCTATTTATATGTTTCTTGAAACAAAAAAATCCCCATGACGATGCGGTTTCAGCACAATTGAATAATTGTCGAGTGGAATTGCAATTTGGCCATCGACTCTTAATGAAACAATAAGCGGTTGTGTTATTCCCCCAAATCGAAGGTGCTTGCAACAATAATAATAGTGCGAAAACCGCGAGATGATAAGTTTGCTTCTTTATTCGATGACGAAAACGCAATTGTTCGACTGCACTGACTGCTATTGTCAAGGCACGTCTTTTCTATATGAATCTAGACACCCGTGGATTCACACAATAGCTATTCACTATTTAATCGCACCGGCCTATATTGTGATGTAGTCGATATAAAACATTCTCCAACATCGATATCGGACAACGAATCGCTCCCAGACAATGCACTTTCATAATAAGAAACTTTTAATCCGCGACAAGAAAGCGTCTACCAGCAATAGGGAATTTTAAATTTCGTAGAGTTGCTCCACAATAAACAAAAAGTTATTATTTCAGTCACATAATTAATTCGAGCCCCCTTACTACCGACGTTTGGAGCATGAACGAACGAAGCGAGAGTGCTGAATACGCACTCGTCTAAGTACTAAAAAAGTATGGAACCAAGCGGTTTTATTTTTAATCATTTGCCTCAAGAAAATAATAATTAATATAAATTAAAGTAATACAAAAAATGTGATTGTATTTTCAGAACGAAATTTTGTTTTGTTTTTGTGTTACGCGATTTTTTTGTCAAAATTGCAATTTATGTGAAAAAATTAAATATAAAGCAGATAGTTGTAATCCTTAGAGTATAGCTTTTATGAGAAAAATGATTTTATAGTGGGTTGCCATTTAAAAAAATATTTTTTTTGTAGAACTCAAAAAAAAGGAAATTTCGAAAAATTTTATTCTTGTTAAATCATCATTTTTATAGTACTTTATCACTCATCAATTAGTTTTTTCAAAAAATAATTAGTTTAAGTAAAAAACGTTTAGTTCCATACTTTTTATTCACCTAGTATAGTTCTTTTATACCAGCTGAATAAGAAGTATGAAACCAAGCATTTTTTGCATAAACTAATTATTTATGAAAATAATTGTTATCTAACCAGTAGGTTTTTTTTAAATAAATTGTTAAAATTGCGTTCTGAGCTCATCACGAAGATTTTCCGAACTTAACCGAAGTGGTCGTTTCATGCATTTGGTCTTGGACAGGTCTGTTTTTTGTGCACGAACTTAGGGGTAGTTTCAAACGGATTAAAAATGGAAGAAAGTGAGTTCTTATTAGATTTTTTGGTCCATCCGGAACCACTCCTAAGTATCTATAGAAAAAAAATGTGGTCTCCTACGTTCAAATGTATGAAACGACTACATCGCTTAAGTTCGAAAAATTTTCGTAATGAGCTCGAAAGGCAACTGTTTTATTTTATTTAAAAACATTTTCACAAAAAAAAAAACATTTTATTTCACTAAAGAATATTTATAGCTCATAGTCTTTAATTAAAAAAATTGTCATAATAAATTGCCATTTAAACAAAAACATTTTTTTACTAAACATAAAAATAAAAAATACAAAAACTACAACGAATTTCAAAAAAATTTGTTCTTCAAAAACGATCACACTTGGTTACTATGGTGGCGAATTTTTTTTAATTACTAAGAGGTGTGAATTCGTGTTTTGCAAGCTTTAACAAAAAAATGTTGTTTGCGGACTCATCTGCTATTCCTGACTCGGTTTCACCTCATCCGGAAACAGCAACGATTCATCCGGAAAAACTGTGTTTTGGGTAGTTAACAAAAATAACTATTTTTATTTTGCGTCTGAAAGAAAGCTTATTTCGATACGAAAACTGATGCTAATGAGCCATTTCAATACCAGTTCTGAAATAGACTAGTACAATTTGCTTTCCAGAGGTTGATAATCGTGATTTTCAGCGGCGTTTTGACCAATTTCTCTTATTTCAGGTGGTGTGCGATATTTGCAGTATTCATTGTTAATTCAACAAAATTTTGCAAAATATTCGAGACTTGGCACTTCAAAAATCAAATTTTTCAAGCTTTGTGATTTTTATTACCAACCACCACCTTATTAGAGAAAAAGTTTCCAAATGTTGAAAAATAGGATTTTATGTTAAAAAAGTACGTAAAATGCGCAAACTAGAAAAAATAGCATAAAAAAAACTTGATTCATAAGTCATTTATGGGAACTTGTTCTTTATAAAACTCGCATTTCGCTGCTCTCTTCATTATAAACCTGAACTCGTTCCACAAAACTTGCCTTACGAAACGCGTTCTTTAATATACTATTAATTTTAGACAATTACAAAGTGTACCATGTCATTGATATTAATAACGTAAAAAAACCCTTAAAAAGTAAGCTTACTTTCAATTCAGTGTCATGACGTTCCTGTCGTTTTAACGTTTTGAAAATTTTGTTGTCAAATTTGACGTTAGAGCTTCTTTTACAGTGTCAAAAATTTGAAGTCAATTTTTTTGTCTGGTTTTTAGCTTTTTATCGGATGACGTCCTCCAATTAAAAAACAAGCGTCTTATAAACAATAAAGAATTTTAAATTTCGTTTGAGTTGCTCTAAAATAAACAAAAAGTTATTTTTCACGAAATGAACCTTTGGATCACGAACGACTGTCCTGTTGTTTTGGCGTTTTCAAAATTTTGAAAAGTCAAATTTGACGTTAAAGCCTGTTTTACAGTGAATTTTCAAAAAGTGTCAATAAAGTTGCATTTTTTATCGGATGACACCCCCCCAATTTTAAAAGAAAGCAATATATAAGACGAAGTTTCAATTTCGTTACTCCAAAAAAAAATCGTGTTCCACAAATCATCTGCCCTCTTGAACGACGTTTAGAACACGACCGAGCGAAGGGAGTGTTACAAATTCACGAAAAAAAGGCACTTGCATAATTCTTCTAGCAAACTGTTTACTCGTACTGCTCTTATGGTTTGTTTTTTATATAAACAATATTTAAGTGTACCTTGCCGAACAATAAAATGGGACAAAGTTCATAAGCCAGTTTCACAATAAATTTACAGAAAGTGTTAAAAATTTGATGTTACATTTTTGCCGATTTTTAACTTTTATTCCTCTCAATTTTAAAGGTGAAAACAATGTTTTCGAGTACAAAGAGGTTTTATTTCGGTGTGACATTTGTTGTCAACAGGAAAGCTTTTCTATCCACAATGACATTTTGAAAAAAATCAATGAGATGTTTCAATGAATCAGTCGTCAGCATTGTGAGTGACGCTTTGTAATTTATTTATTATGACCTGCACGTACTATTGAAAATTATTTTAATAATAGAAAATTATTGTTTGTTTCATTTGACTCACTATTATACAAAAATCTATTATGGCTTTTATCATTTTAAATACAATAGCTTCAATTATTCATTATGTCTCAACGTCACTATGCTTGTTTGAAATGAAAAGATTACGTAATGAACGAACGTAGCGAAATACGCCACTCGTCTTGTTTTCCAAACTATGCTATATAACATGTTTTCATTTACACCTCCTTTGTACTCAAACTCTTGTGTGCAAGCTCCAAATTTGCTAATAACTTCATCTTTACCTTTGAAGTGTAGCTTCTTAGTTTGCTCTATTGCATTGTTAGTTCGAACAATTGTATGCCGTAGTTTGTAGTGTTCCCTTGTAAAACAACTGACTCATTGTTAATATTGGACGTAACACGTCTTCAGTTTAAATAAAAATCTTGAAACAAAGCCGTATTTAGGATGGAACGAAATAAACAACAACCCATTTGAACTGATTACATATTTATATTGAATTAGGAAAAATTCAGTAGAGTGAAAACACAATTACGTCAAAATATTAAGGAAAAGCTAAAGAAAAAAAAACTAATAAACATTTAAAATTTCTACATAACACAAAGCTAATTAAGACTTATTCTTCAACAAGTCTTTGTTTCTTTCCATCATTTCTTCCTTCTTATCTTTCTTTACTTTAGTCAGAAACTTATCCATTTCTTCAATGTTACTTTCTGACGGAATGTTAGTCTTGTCCACTTTCCCGCCATCTCCATCTCCTCCACCACCATTATCTTGTCCTCCACCTTCTTCCTTTTCTGCCCACTTTCCACCAAACGCTTCCCTATCCACAAATTTCTCATTCGATGTATAATCATCTCTGTCCTCTCCTTCCGACAATGGTCCTTCATGCCTTATTTGCTCTCCTTCGTTATCCATATACTTGTTAACTTTATCCTTTTCAGCATTCGCCGCCTTCTTCATCACCTCATCCGAATCCCTATCTCGGCTTCCGCTCATCGACCTACTTCTATCCCTTGACCTACTCCTATAATCCCTTCTATCTCTATACTCTCTGTAGCCGCCTCTTTGGTATCTACCTCTCGGTCTTCTTCCGCCTCTGTTGTTATAGTTATTATACGGCCTGCCACGCCCTCTGTACTCCCTATCGTTATACCTGCCATCCCGGTTATAGTAACCGCCACCGCCGCCGCCTCCTCCTCTACCTCGGATGTTGTTGCGAGGATTCTGGAAGCGCGGCTTGTAGTAAGTGCCTCGGTCGTTGTAGCGGCCTCGGAAACCGCCTCGTCGGTATCGCCGACGATCGCCCGAATAGCTGCGAGAGCGGGAACGACTTCTAGAATAGTAAGAACCGGAACGTGATCTGGAACGGCTGTAATACGAGCGGGAACGGCTTCGGTAACTGCGAGATCTAGAACGTGAGGCGCTCGAAGAGCGAGTACGGCGAGAGCGGGATCTACTATGACGTTTCGGGGAACGACTGTCGGAACGAGGACGACCTGGGGGCTCAGGAGGGCGGCGACCTACACCAACATCAAATCTCATTATTTAGAAGTTCATAGAAACCAAAAAGGATATCGATGGAAAGAATGCGCAGAGACGAAAACTCGTCGCGGACGAATCCATTCGTAAATATAGGGGAGTTCTGAAATCAGCTGAGAGCAGTGGCGTGTATTCACACTTATTTATTTGAACAAAACAAATAATCCATACAGGGTTATTCATAAATATGAAGCAATATTTGAACCTCAAAAATGACCCATAAAATGATGTTAATTTAAATAATAACTCGTGTCCTATCTCTACTGATAAGAATTTTACAGCCTTCGGAATGTGGGTATGGAAATTTGATTTTCTTGTAGTAACTTTGAAACTATTTGACCAAATATTATAAAATTTGAAACATTTCCCTGTGACAACATACCCTTTAAACTGGTAATCACGAAAACCAGATACATCCACTCAATTTCCGGTTCCAGCAGTTGCAGGTCACATTTTCTGTGTTTTTCCATTTTTTTTGCTCTCTTAACACCAATTTTTTATTGCCCAAATCGATAGAGTAATCAATTTCCATTAAAAAACGCATAACCTTTAACACCCCTAAAATGGACCGTTTCAAAGATATTTTAATTTAAACTGAGGACTGCACAACGCTGAAACCAAAAAGTAGGGATTTTGAATGGATGATATCCACGGTAACAAATGATCATGGTCTCACTAATCGCAGTCAGGCATCTGTCAACTTTGACATTGGACGATTATTAGACAATTAATCGAAAATATTTAATAAAAGAGTTTACCTCAGATTCCAAACATAACTTAGAATAAATCCAAATGGATCTCGTAGCATTTAATTCATAAAAAATTCACAAAAATTTATCGTCAAAGTTAACAGATGCCTGGCAGGGATTTATGTGACCATGGTCATTGGTTGCCGTGGATACCACTTATTCAAAATCCCTATTTTTTTATTTCAGCGTTGTGCAGTCCTCAGTTTAAATTAAAATATCTTTGAAACGGTCCATTTTAGGGGTAGTAAAGGTTATGCGTTTTTTAATCGAAATTGATTACTCTATCGATTTGGGTAATAAAAAATTGGTGTTAAGAGAGCAAAAAAATGGAAAAACACAGAAAATGTGAACTGCAACTGCTGTAACCGGAAATTGAGTGGATGTATCCGGTTTTCGTGATTACCAGTTCAAAGGGTATGTTGTCACAAAAAAATGTTCCAAATTTTATAATATTTGGTCAAATAGTTCCAAAGTTATTACAAAAAAATCAAATTTCCATACCCACATTCCGAGGGCTGTAAAATTCTTATCAGTAGAGATAGGACACGAGTTATTATTTAAATTAACATCATTTTATAGGTCATTTTTGAGGTTCAAATATTGCTTCATATTTATGAATAACCCTGTATACTGTAATGAAAATATTTTATTACTTTATTAATAAATAACATTTTTAAGGCATTTGTTCTTTTATAAATTGCAATACTCAATTCTACTTGAGAAAGTTATTAGACATTGTTCAACAATGTCCAAATTATTATCAAAATAAAGTCCATTTACAAACCACAAGTCTTTAATCACTATTTGCAGTGTACAAGTTGAGCTGCAGACGTACCTGTATTTTTTTATTACATAATACGTTATATTGTAGTATAATGAAAAAAATAAATTTTAAATTTTAAAATAGTGATCAAAATGTAGGTATACCTACCATTGCATAAACATTAACTATAAGAATAGTAAATATATTTTATTAGTTTTATAGTAAAAAATTCCATTTTGACTTACGAATATAAAGTGATAATTTGAAATTACTAAGGCCCATCAGTTATATAAAAAATTAATCGAATGTAATTCTGATTTAAACCCATAACAACAATTTTTGTAAAATTTTGAGGGTTCATCTTCTTACATCTTATTAACTAGGTATGAAAACAAAACGTCACTAGAAAATGTTTAATATACCTACTTATTAACAGGGGCATCTTATAAATGTTAACTTTGAAAAATTCATTAAAATTAATTATGATACAAAAATTGTTTTTTAATATGTTTACATTTTTAATAAACGAATCTATTCGTTACTGTTTGTTCGTATTTTATTTATACAGAAATTAAAATCACCGTATATTTGAAATAATCGTGGAGCATCGTATGAATTTTTTATATTTAATATCCCAGTCAATAAATATACGAAAAAAATGCAACTCTACAATTCCCTTTTTATCACAGAATGTTTCTGTGTTACGCCACTGCTCAAGTTTCCCCACTACACCGAGTACGCATTGGCTCCGCCTATCGATATCCTTCTTGGTTTCTATGAACTCTACCATGCAAAACAAAAACTTATAAAAAATAAATTACGCAAAGCTCAGTCCTTCACGATGACGAAAAATAACCATGCCGCATGCCTAGACAACTAAATTTACTAAAATTTCTCAAAATCAAGAAAAATAAGCTCGACCATCTGAAAAAAGACTGAGCTCTACCTGTTGGTCCTTTCGGAGGAGCACCTGGTGGTAACGGTGGCATATCATCTCGTCCCTTTTTCAATTCTGGCGGTGTCATCAATCTGAAATTACCAAACTTGTCCAAAACCACCTGTCCTGGATTCACCAATGGGTTAACTGCCGGTATTGGTGGCAACAATTTCGGTTTGTTTTTCGGTGAATCGGGTCGTTTTGGTGGCGGTGGTTCTTTCATCGCCATGGCTTTGCGTACACTCATATTCTTCTCAGGTGGTGGTACAGGAAGTTGTTGACTTTTTCGTGGCGACTCTTCAAAATTACCATTTTTACCAGATGCCATACCACGTTTATCCATCATTTGTTGTTGTTCCTCTTTCCATTCTTCACGATCTGATGGTTTCTTTTTGAAACGAGAACTGCTTGTAGATGGGGGTGGTTGAGAACCGATCTGCATTTTCCATTTGTTCGCCGAACCAGCGGTGGCGGCGGCTTCAGCCACCGCCTGACGAGCTTTCTGCTCACGAGTGGGCGAAGGCGAATCGAGAAGGGCACGTTTGGGGCTTTCACCGAGTTCACTTCTGCAACTCGAAAAACAATAACCAAAAGAATTTAAGAGAAAATTTACACACCTCTTGGATTCTTTTTCCATTGCATAGTAAGCGTTCAATTTTGATTCTAATTCTTCCAAATCGGGTAAACTATCGATAAAACTATAAACACAATTAGACATGAAACAAGTAAAAGTTTGAATAAATTACCGTTTAGTATAGCCCGCCTTTTGCAAAAAGTACTCATCGTCGTCCGATGGTATACTATGCTTCTTCGACTTTTTCCCCTTACTCAACTCCTTTTTAATCGCATCTCTCAATTTTTTATGATCCTCGAATTCACTCAAATCGAAACCTTTCCGTTTCAATTTCTTTTCCTTCTTCTTTTTCTTACTATCCTTCTTGCTCTTTCTGTCCTTCTTACGTTTCTTTTTCTTCTCATCGCTTCGTTTCTCCTTCTTCCACTTTGTACTCTCCTCTAAAAATTTCCTTACCTTTTCCTCATAATCGGAATCACCTTTAGTCTCTTGTAAGAACATTCTTAATCTCTGTTCGTAACTCAAATCTGTTGGTTTTTGAGTTTCGCTCGGCTGTTCAAGATTGAAATCAAACATGGCACTGGTAGCCGCCGGCTTATTAAACGTGTAAGTATTTGGAGTATCGTGCGATTGATCCATCATCGCCATTCGTTTACTTAATGGACTTAACGAACTCTGTTTTTCGCGACGATGTGATCGAGAACGATGTTTCTTGCGTTTTTTAAAATCACTATCGCCGGAACTTGAGCTCGAATCGCTGGAACTCGACGATGAACTGCTCGAACTGTCGTTGCTTCCCGATGAACTTGAGCTGGAACTAGAACTCGAATGTCTTCGGTTCTTTCGTTTCTTGCTCTTCTTTTTCTTTTTCTTGTCTTTCTTCTCCTCATCTTCGTTTTTCAGCAATTGTTTAAGTGCATCATTTACATCGGTTGTTTTAGATGATGTTGACAAGTTTGGTAGTAACAATTCTGTGGGTTCGATTAGATTCTTTGTTGCGGATGTTTTATTCTTTAAAAATTTTAGAGAATTTTGCGCTTCTTCATGATTAGGTATCAAACTGAGACAACTCTGGTACGATTTTCTCGCCTCTTCGATTTTATCTTCTTCTTCGTAACTTCGACCGAGTGCTACAAGCGTTTCGCCCATATACTTACGAGCGTTGCCGTGATTTGGATTTAGTTTGAGGGCCGTTTCAAAATCGGCGATGGCTTTTTGAAAATTGCCACTATTTGCATATAAAGCGCCACGTGCTACCAGACCTTCAACGTTTTTAGGATCGATATTTAATGCTTTGTTTAGGCATTGAAAAGCTTCGACATGTTTGCCAGCTTTGAAATGGTCAATACCATCAGCTACGTTACGATATGCCCATTTACTCGCTTGAACTTGACGTAATTCATTGGCGTATTCATTTTCAGCAAATCGTCCCCTGAAAACATCAATCAATTAATTTGTAGTGTCGTTTTTTTTTTCTTCACAAAACTCACTTTAGTCCTTTCATAAGCGTGCAATGTTCTTTAATTCCCAAAAGTCCGGCCAAATACGAAATGTTATTCGGATTGTTGAAACCAATGCTCTTTTCTAGGACAGCGTCATAGCTTTCGTTCTTGTGATCCAAAGCCTTCCTGAAAACGAAAGAAAAAAATATTTTGATAAGGCCTATAAAAAGTTGATGTGAGAGAAACATGATCCTTGTAATACCTGTTTGAAATATTTTGTTTGTGAGTCAGGAAAAAACAACAGTTTTTAATCCAATAATAAAATCGATCTTATTATGCGTCCATTTTTATTTTAAACAAAAATTCGGAGTGTAGCGTCCTTCTCTTGCGGAAATCCAGACTCACAAACACGCTACCCTTAAAATGTATTATTTGCAATCCCTTAAATTAGTTTATACATACCGGAATTCGTCTGAAACTCAGACAGTCCCATCCTATGTGTTGTTGTCTAATTTAACATTTTTTACAAATAAATTTCTCGCTTTCAATATAAAAATTCTCCTTTTATTTTATCGGATACACGCACAAAATTAAACCTCCTCAACCTTTTAATTTTTAATACATAGTGCATTTTTCTGGTTTTTCATCGATACTGTGGAAAACATGTCTATGAGCAATGCGTACAATCAAAACAGCAATAAAATTATCGGAAAATCAAGTACAATGAAAAAATCGATTTTAAAATGTAAACTGACAAAAATTGTCTCACCTGATTCAGCGTTTTTTAATTACATGGGATTTGTGCAAAGACGCTGCCTATTAAAACCCACAGTGCAATTAGGGTCGTGTATGCACACAAATGCTTTTATCAATTTTACTTTTAATTTTTGAATGGTGAGAATTTCTCGGTTTTACTTAAACATAAAACCTTCTAAAAAGAAAAATAACTGTATTAGCTTCGAGTGAAGACTTCTCATTATTAGCGATTCCATCCACAGAAAAACAAAACCAAAGCCATCCGAAAATGATTACATTTTGTTACATTATTGTTTTTTTTTGTTTTTAAGAAATAAAAAGTGCGTGTGAAAAACATGAAATTTGCCGTACCCAAAAAGACACAACTACTGAAAAAAATGTTATTTGTTCCCCCATACTCGACGTGACTTACTTGTAAGCCAATGGAAAATCGTCAGCACTGATTAATCCCAACGGTGGACGACGTTCGGGATCGTTTGCTTTTCTAGGTGTGCCCTTCATGCAACACACCATCTTATCCGAGTCGGGAATTTTTTCGATTACTTCGCAGCAAACTGAATCATTCATCATGTAGCTGCGAGTTATGCCCTTCTTATCAACTGCCGGTATTATATTCGCCACCGGACAGAATGCCTGAAAAAAAAAACAAAATCATGAAAAAAGCAAGTCAAAATTTAGGTGAAAAAAGCAACTTAGGCACAACCACAAATTTTGAAACAAACTCCAACTTACCTTAACATTGATGTCAGCGGCGTAGATTATATTAGGCCCTGGCCCTGCCGTGCATAGCACCTTGAGCATCATCCCAGATTGAGTTTTACTCACAATAGTCCCAATAATGAGGTCGCCCACTTTCACGCTCTGTTAGGAATGGGCAAATTAGATAAGATAAAAACAGTTGAATCATCAAACCTTAAAGAAATATTTGAGCCTTTGTTGTTTGTCAACATTGAGAAAGGTCTCAAATGGAGGCATGATCGCATACGTGTCTTCACTAACGGGCCCCTCTTCCGGTTTATACTCAAAATCGGCCGCTTCAGTCGCAAACAACATATTCGCTTTCTTGACGACAAACTGCTGGAGTTTGAGGCGTTTGCCTCGATCCTGGAAAGACAGATGCTTCTGTCTCTCGCTGTACACTTGGAAATTAACATCCTTGACGTTCCTCCGATGCAAATCATTCTCGCCGTACTCGGCTTCCCACAATTTTTGCATCTGCTGTCCATTGAAATTCAACGACTGGCTCAGGAGGTTCGCGTTCAACGACTCCATGACGGAGTGTTGCTTTCAAGCCTGCGAAAACATCAATTTCGGTCAGAATTTGCACAAGACATGGACAAAAACGCTATCAAACAACCCTTTTGCCAAGATGGCGTCTAAGAGAAATTACAATTTAAAGTCCTTGACGCAAAATACACAATTTGATCGTGAAAAATACAACAATATGCTAGAAGAGATTGATTATTTTACTTCAATAAATAAATAAATGATGCTTACCCTAGAATAAATCAAAATATTTGGTAAATTAAAGACCACACCGTTTCACACCAATGGATAAACTTCCAAAATGGCCGATTGTCTATTTCCCTTGCCGGGTTGCTGCTCCCACCACAGCAACAACGACCAATAGAAATGTGCAACGCACAGTATTGGCTAACTCAAAGAAGAGGCAAATTTAAAATTTAAAAAAACACAATATTTGTTGCCCATTTTTTTCAAAAAACAGATTGAATGCACAAGTTTTAACAAAAAGTTGTTTGTAGCAATTAGCATAAAAGGAATCGGAAGTTAAATGTGACTTTCTCTCTAATTACAAAGAATTACCCACTTTCGATACGTAAATAGAAATAAATACAAGCGATAATAATTGCAAAACAAACAAAAAAAATTAAATTAGATATCAGTCCACCCATCTCAAAACAACATATCTCTAATGTTCTTAAAAACAACAAAAAAATATTATATTTTTTAAATAAAATGTTGATGTTTTTTTAATAGGTATGTTGTAAGCAAATTTAATTATTACATAAAATTACATAAAATAGTTTTTTTTTCTAGTCTCCAGTACTTCTTGCTTTTTTAAATTCTCTACAAGCAAATAATTTTCTTCCACTTCGTATCATATTATTTTAATTACAATTTCCGGTTCCTTCGTAATTTGTTAACAGTTTCTTTTACCGTAACTTAATTACGAAAAATACTTGAAAACTTTGACCTCGTATGAAATCCGTCCACGTCGTCCTACAAAAATGTAATCGCGTGAAAGTCGCAGCTTTCCCCCTCGTTATGTGATTAGCAAAATTAGTAATTAAAAAAAATCAAAATAATAATAAATGAAACGTCTCCGGAGCGTGCGCTTGCCACTCCGGAACTCCGATGGCAACACTTGCAGGCAATTCGCAGGCGCAGTCATTGGTGGGTCGGTGTTCTAGTGCGTCATCCAACAAATACCCGGAATAATCCGGGCAATGGCATCCCGCAACAAAAAGACATGAACAGCTCAAAACACAATCGCTAAAATTCGAACCAAGCATCAAAATAATACATAAACCACTGTGAAATAAATAATTAGTGTGAAAGTGTGCTACAAAATGATTTACTAGAAACGAAAAACACAAATTTAGACAAGGTGAGTGTTGTTTTTTGTTTGGCTAGACTGTGGTGCAATTTTCGAAATTGATTTTTTCTTGGTTCCAGGCAAAATGAGTAGATTCGAACCTGGCCCTTTAGTACCGCCCAAACCCAACGGGACGAGATTTCCAAGTCTTATGTACCCAACCGATCCCAAAGTGGAGCTTTGTGCTCGTATTGATACTTATTATGATCTCACCACAGCCGCTGTTTTCTTAGTCTACATAGTTTTTGGAATCCTTTACACGTTTTTAGGTATGCTTTTATAAAAGAGAGTGTATTATTAGACTTTTAAAACATCACGTAACAAGCGCAACCATGTGTGAACAGCTCCTTTTATGATAATCAACGTGTGGTCAAGGCCGGATCCTCATCCCGGCCGTGCATTGATCGCAAAACATTAATATTACGCTAATGATCTTACAATTTAAACTCTACTAGATGCGCCTAGAGTGAGAGCTATTGGCCTCTACATGTGTAGAAAAGAGACAGGTATAGCGAATCAGCTGATGTAGGGCAGAAAACAGCTACTGTATTGCATTTTGAACTAATCAAGTAGGCTTTGGAAAAAGGTCAATAATTGTCAAATTTTAGATTTTAAGTTATTTTTTCGAGAAAATTGGGACATTCCATTTGAAAAAACCGAGTTATAGCCGTTTTTTGATCATTTTTTTTTAAATCTTACTAGTCTTGAAACTTGATAGTTGAAATCTTGAAACACTTTAGAAGATTCTTTAAACCTTTTATTATCAAATGCAAAAAAAGATTACTCATTTATTCCGAATGGTTCAAGAGCTGTGGATTTTGTTGTTTAACCAAAGTTTTCTATTTTAATTCAACATTTCTAATACATAGCCCAAAAATGCTACGAAAACGGACATTTTTGAAATTTCAAAATTAAATACTGCCTCCCTCCGAAAATAAGTGTCCTGTTTGTTCATTTTTTTAAACTTAACTTTATTTTGAGAAGACTATGCAAATAATTTTGTTTATTATTATAAAATTATTAGAACGGCTGTTTATTTAAATTTGGTGTCATAGTTGGCGGTGGTGAATGTGTTGTGAACGGACCATAATTTTTAATATGCTCGGCGAGGTGTTGAATGTCATATTAATAACTTTCAATACAATGATTTGTTCACAATCGAACTTTCATGGATACCTTTGACGCAAAATTTAAAAAAACACCCGTTATAAAGCGGCACATTCAGAGGTTGACATTATTTCAATGCCAACTTGATCCTTCAATCATTTATGGACATAGTGTATAAATAGTTATTTATTTCCAAGTATATGCAATGTTGTTTCTATAGGAATATTAGCCTTTAAGTGCAATATACAGGATGTTTTGTAAATAGACCAAAAAAAAGATAAGTAAGATAAGATACCAGGAACATTAAAAAAATGTTAATAAATGCTATGTGCCTTTACTAAATAATTGTAAAAAAAAACATATACAAAAAAAACATATACATCAGTATCATTAAATAGACATAAAAAAATGTCAAATGTCAAAAAATAAATGTCAAATTTTTTTACAGATAGAATTTTTTAAACATTTTTTATTCACAATCACTAATGTAATATGCCGATTACTAACCTTTTTAAGGTTGGTAATGTCATTACCATGTCATTATTTCTCATGAAGAGTAATAAATGTTACTCCTCTTGGGTGGTAATATGCAGGACTGCCAACGTTAAAATTACGAAAATACGGGGAATTTTTTCTTTCAAATTGTCAAGTTACGCATAATATTTTGCTAAATTAGTATTCAATTGCTTTTGTAGCAGTTTCTCTTACTTCTGGGGGAGTACCTACACTGCTCCAGTTCGACAATTTTAAATCAGATTCACACATTATTTCAATATTTACTTTGACATTTCTGAAATGTCAAAAATCAAATGCCATTTGGATGGCCTACCACGTTTGGACCTTAACTTTGTTACAATTTTATTTTACTCAAATTTTTTATTGAAAATAATGTGATTGTGAATAAAATAGCATACAAACCTCGGTGGTAATGGCATTACCCCTTGTGCTTTATTCGAGGCTGGCGCCTCTCGATCGTATACATAAGCACTCGGGGTAATGCCATATTTACCACCTCGCTTGTAATGTACTATTTCATGTTCCTGATATTTTACCTTACTTGAAAATGTTCTCTGGGGCGCGAGTTCTGGCACACCTGTAGATTTTTTAAAACATTATTTTAATGTTTCTGGTATCTTAATTAATTACAAAACACTCTGTAGAGTGTTAATACAAAAATGTTTTTTACATAATCGTATTCTGATTATTATTATTTGTTTTCGGACGTTTATTCCTGAACAACACAAATGTGGACGGAAAGAATAATTTTTTAATTATTTTTTAATTTTTATTTTTTTAAATAATCGAGCATAAGTTGTCTAAAAACGTTTAAAATAAAAGAGAAATTTGAAAAAATTGCTCTGAACAGCTTAGACTTGAGTGCTTCTTTGCCATACATCACGTGACTATAATATCTCTGTCTTTGTCAAGCAACGCTAGTTTCTATATTTACTTTCTTTCTCTAATGGTTGGGGTGAATCGCTAATACAGGGTGATTCTTAAATAGACCGACAAAATTTTATCACATCTTCCTAAGAATAAATGGGGACAAACTTTACCCTTTTTATGTTTATACCTTTTAGGGGCAAAACCCCCTTGATCCGTGCCACTTACGGCGTTTATGAATTGTTGCAATAATCAAGTACGTTAATACCATGGTTACCACTACCTGTGCTAACACATCAGTGGCGTACGCTTTACTTGGAACATAACTTTAATAAATTTTATTTGAAGAACGTTTAAACAAAGAATTTTTTAAATATTTTTTCCAGCATGTTCTCATTTGATACTACCAAGGATAGAATTTTGTCAGTCTATTTAAGAATCATTCTGTATACTCTAATACTCGTAGTTTATTTTATAGGATCATTGAATAACTCATTTCAGGTTATCAGTGCTTCAAGACGGTCATGTTTCTCACCGGATTTATCTTCGCTTCGGCGATTGTTTACTTGATATGTCTGCAAGGCGAGCTCATGCCGTCGTACGGAAACGCAGGTGTGCAAAAAATAAACGATTCGAATACTAAACCGGAAGTTCCGTTACCTTCCATTTTTGTTTATTTCAGGTGTTGCTCTGCTGGCCGGAGTACTCTTCGGCCTGATAACAATGTTGGTCCAATACGTGGGGCTCTTCGTGAGCGGCCTCCACACCGGCTTCCTCTTGGGGGTGGCCGCCCTCTTGACTGCCGATTATCTCATAAACACGTCACCGAAAGGGTCAATCTGGTTGTGTGTGGGAGTTTTACTCGGCATGGCGCTGATATTCGCAGTTTTGACTTTGTATTTTCGAAAAAGTAAAAATTTTCACGTTAAAATTTTTTTTCGAAAAAATCACTTCCAGGTCTCACCATCGTCTGTACGAGTATTTATGGCGGTGCTATTTTCTCGACTGCGATTGATTATTTCGTGGAGAGATTATCGATGATTTCTTGGGCATGGCAGAGGGTTTCTTTGAAACCGGTGGAACCACCTCCTTGTTGGTTCTCTTGGATTGTTTTAGCCGCTTGGCCGTCCTTTTTTCTCACAGGATTGATCGTTCAGTGCACCGTTACAGGGAAAGGTATACATCATGAAGGTAAGCCCCGAAATTTTCTTACAGTTTTTTACATCATTGAGTTTAGTTGCCATTCGTAAAAAACAAAGAGACCCAATGTTGCGCGGCCAAACCAGAGCTGAAATGAGGCAAAACAAGTACAGATATTTGTACCAAGTTCGCACAGCTCACGGAGATGTGATAAGTAGAGTGAGTTGAAATTTCACCGTTAATTAACTCGACTGATTAATCAAAATTGTAGAACTTCGTTCAAGCCATGCAGAGTAAGGAAGGGTCCCAAAGTGGGGGCATTGGGGAATGCAGCACCCTACAGTCGGACGCCACACATTTGACCATTTTACCAGACTCGCAATTGGCTGCCTATGCTGAAAGTGAAGACGACAGCAGCCAAACAGAGGTTGTAACACATCATCAGTGATTTAGTGTCGCATTTTCGTCAAAAAATCAAAATTTTTAAACTTACTTTATTTTTTCGAGACAATAATGGATCAAATTTTAATTGTCTTGTCGAACAAAGTAGATAAAATATTATTGACGGAATATGTTCTCTCCTTTGTATTATTTTAATAAATAAATACACCTCCCAAAACTGTTTTTTTTTAACTTTGAAAATGTTTGGTTCTTTCGCAAACTCAAGTTGGCAGCACTGCTCCCCGCTACCGTACCGATGTTGACGTTGAGAAATTTTAATTGTCGCGTCAAACAAAACAGACGGTTTATATTCTCTTCCTTGTATTATTTTAATAAATAAATAACCCTCAAAAATTGATTTTTTAAGAATTGTAAAAATATTTGTTTTTATGCTATCGCCTGTTGGCAGCGCTGGTCTCCGAGCACATGGTAGCTTCCCATTGGCTCCCGAGTGTGTTGACGTTGACACATGTCAAACGTCAATAAAAATTGAACACGTTTTCCTCAACTTGCATTTAAAAACAATGTTTTATCGTGAAAAATGAAGTGATTAAGCCGGACAACAGTCAACATGAATAAAACCAACAAATTCCTGGTGGAAGCCGCCGCTATTTTCGTGGCATATTTCTACTTCGGAATCTTACAAGAGAAAATAGCAAAAGGCAAATACACGTACGAGACAACGGACGATAAGGGCGAGAAGATTTACCTTACGGAAAAGTACACTTATTTCCTAACTTTAGTGTTCATTTTGTGTGCAATTAGTTACGTGGCTGCTAGCATATTTTTGAAAATCTGGCGGCCCGAGGAAGACAAGACACCGCGACTTTATTACATAAGTATTGCGATAACGTTCCTGCTGGCCATGGTATGTTCAAACATGGCACTGCAATGGGTGCCATACCCGACCCAAGTGGTGGGAAAGTCGGCCAAACCCATCCCAGTCATGATCCTGGGGGTACTACTAGGAAAAAAATCATATCCTTTAAAAAAATACATTTTCGTCTTGTTGATTGTTGTTGGAGTGGTGCTATTTATGTTCAAAGACAAGGGAAAGCCGTCACACCAAGATGTGGAGTTCGGTTTGGGAGAATTGTTGTTAATTCTGTCACTCATGATGGATGGAATGACTGGAGGAGTTCAAGTACTCAACAAGTTTACTCAAAAAAGAAAAAAATAATTAATTGTGTTTAACAGGAGAGGATAAGAGCAGAGGCACAACCAACCGGCCAACAAATGATGAAAGCGTCAAATGGATGGTCGGTTTTATTTCTAGGCTGTGCTCTTATAATAACAGGAGAAGGTTTACAGTTTCTGGAATTTGCGAAAAGACATCCCAGTGTTGCTGTAAATCTATTAATATTAGGATTAACTCAAGCAGTTGGACAAATGTTTCTCTATAATATGGTAAAGGGTCGGTTTTAGTTGATTTTTATCTAAAAAATGTGTCAAGGTTTCAGATTTTGGGCCTTTGGTGGTTTCCCTCGTGACAACAACTAGAAAATTCTTTACATTTTTAGGCTCAGTCATCATTTTTGGGAACGTCCTAAGTGGGAGACAATGGTTGGGAACTATTCTAGTTTTTACTGGACTCTTCCTTGATACCGTCTTTTCCAAGAAAGCCAGCAAAAAAACTCCCAGCAATTAGACTATTTTTTTAAAGTTTTACAAATATTTTGTGACTTTTAAAGGGTGTCCCAATAGGAACTTGAGGATTTAAATTTCACATTATTTATTTGAATAAATCATCAACTATGGCTCCGATCACTTCATATAATTTCGTCATGTGAGTTGGAGACGCAACTCTTTGATGTTTTCCAAAAGAGCGCTTTTCTCACCTCTTAGACTCCCATTCACAGAGTCGTAATCGTGACCACCAATCAGTTTCACCTCGATGGCATTTGCCGAAATTAATTTGAATATGTTTGATAAAGTTATCAAAAATTTAAAAAAAAAGAGTCGCTGTGTGCAATAGGAATCGCGTGGACATTTATCCGATATCTTGTTCCACGTATAATTTTAAGGTTTTTACTTTATGTTAATAAATCGTTCAATTTCTAAATACTACGCACGTTATTTGGAATTTAAATCCACAAGTTCCCGTTGGGACACCCTATATTTATGACAAAAAGCCTTATCGATTGATTGTAGTTTGATTGAATGAAGTGAGAGGGATTTGGGTACGAGAAGACGTGTGATTAATTGACAAACATTGATGTATTTTCTCTTAACTTAAATTACATACATAGTGAGTAAAAAATTAATACCAATTTGTTACAACATACAACAAAACTAAGAATCTAGTCTAATAGTCAACAAGCTCAAAAACAACTTGCTATAAATATTTTTGTATAATTGACAGCATCACAACAGTTTTAAAAAGGACGTTGAGCTTTTTAGGGGAACACAAATATAAAAATACATAAAAAATTAAATTACTTAATATAAATACCAGTACGTTTTCTAGCAGCATTCGTAAAAATCTCATAAAATACTTTTTTCGAAAAAACCGAATTGTGTTTTAAACTTTCAGTCAGCTTTGTTAAACTATATACAAAAATGTACAAAAATATATTACATTTGGGGATCTTACGTACATTTAAACAGTGCGTTTGTAAGCAATTTGGAAGCATCGCGAACTGATTTGTCCTTACATATTGCCAGAGAGCAGTCTTGAAAAAATTTCGGACGCTAAAATGGAGGTAGTTATCTGAACAACAGAAATAAAAAAATTGTGCATTAAACATAAGCCGCATGTCTGCCTCTCAGTCGGTTAAGAAACACTTTCCAGCTGTGCACCGTTTTGCCCGACCAAATCCACACACTTGACGTTATTCCCACAATCATATACATGAGATATTTGATCATAAAAATGGGAAAGAGCGGATGTGAATATTCCCTAATGTCTTGCGGACAAGGAACAGCATAGGTCTGTTTGACGCACATGTCGTGATTCCAAGTCAACATCCAATTATCGAAATTAAACTGTTCGTAAAATAGACAAGCAATGACCATCATTGCAGGTACTGTGTATAAAATGGAAAATACGCCGATACGGATCATTAGCTTTTCTAATTTGTCGGTTTTTGTACCGTCGTGTTTCATTACCGTACGAATACGGAATAACGAGATTAAGCCGGAAGTTAAAAATACTAACCCAAAGACTAGATAAATGCATAAAGGTATGAGAATGAAGATTCGTAAGGCGTCCACGTTCCAAATTCCGACGTAGCAAACGCCGCTCAGCACGTCACCTGAAACGGTTTAAATCCATAGTTAAATGCTATCATAATGACGGAAAACGGAAAAGCGATCAGCCGTGACAATTTGACATCATTTACAGCAAGAAAAAGCGGCAATTTGTCGCATGATGCAAAAATAGACTTGTAAGGATACTTTAACTTGATTAATTAATTATTAATTAAAAAAAAATCAAAGACTGAAACTAAGCGATATTATCATTTTATCTATCCACAAAGGGACGACACTGAACATTTGTTGTAAAACCTCCTTCTTTATTTATTAAATTGTTATTGGTTGCTTAAATTCAATCTTTATATTTTTTGTTTAATTTAATAATTAATTATATGGTTATTAACAGAAACATTACATCTACAGTATACACAAAGAAGCTAAAATGTAAAAATCTTAACTTTTTTTACTCTAAAACCAAGCCCATACAAAAACTGTTTAAAAATAATAAAAATTGAATTACACCACTCGGAAAACGCGTATTACAAAAATTATATACTTTACAATAATAATAAAACAAAAGAATAGCACTAAAACATGTGGTTTTGATAGCAAATTGCCTGCTCCAAATTTCATAAAAATTGATTACTCCATTAAAAAGTTATTAAGGAGGTAACTTGGGTTAAATCGCTTTATTTTGACCCTGGAAATCCCCGGTTACTATACTTTTCGTTACACACTGTATAGTTTTTATGGACAAATCGTTGCTGTTATATTACTAGGCGAGGCGAAGCCGAGTCTGGAATAGCAGATGAGCATGTGTACAAATAACATTTTTTTGTTAAAGCTCCTAAAACCTCTTATTATGTATGATTTTCTCGAAAATAGTGATTAAAAATAAAAATAGTGTCTGAAATAGTTATTTTACGTATTATGTATATGCAAGGTGTACCAGCGATTTGGAAAAGTTTATTATTGACCTTTAATTGCTAAATTAAAAAAAAATATATATATATATATATATATATAGAAAGTTGATAGATCGAGTGCATCGTCTGAAATTATTTTCAAGTATACCGCGTGTACCAAAAATAAGTTCCAACATAAAGTTGTGTTTTTTTAGAGGAAACACCATGTGTTTCTTGGCATTTTTATCACAATGTTTTTAAGCTAAACTTTTATTCGTTGATTTTGCCTAGTTTTTAAAATAATTGGCTTTACAACTTAAAACGGTTCTTAAGGAAGAATTTTAACATTTAGAATTTTGTTCTTTCTTCTTATTGTTAATAATAAAAAAAACATAGTAAACTACCAAGCTGTTCAGAAAAAAAAAATGCCAATCGATTGGCCAAAGACTTTTCATTTACGACATTTTTGAAGCTTTTATGTTTGCATAAATATTTTTTTGCAAACATGTGTTCATTCAAGTAGGCGTAATTTGATAAGTAATAGATTTTTTTAAATTATGCTTTGACTATTTTGTACCTTTGTAGACCTAATTTCAAGAAACATTGAATTTTTAAACAACGTTATTATCTTTTCAAAAATTTAACATTGGAAACGCCATAATAGAAAATATATCTCTTTATTTATCAATTCTAGACATTTAAAAGTTAATGTTTTTAGGTATAGACGCAAAAACAAAAAATAGGGTATTTATTCCATTTAACTAATTTGAATTATTTAAAAAACTTCTCCATTTTTTTCTCCACAAATGCAATACACTAAAAAATTATTATAGCCTTAAAGTTTGTACTCTCTTCTTTACAGTAGTATTTTTTTAACTGTTAGTTTTTATGTAATATATTTTAAAAAAATATATTTTTGTTACACAGTAAGAAAAACTGACAAATAAAAATTTAGCTTGAAAACACATAGGGTGTTTCATTTAAGAAGACACAAGTTTGTATTGTAACCTATTTTTGGGACAACTGTAAAGTATAAATAATAATAAATAAAATAAATAACTAATAAAGCTATTACTACTACTACTACTAGGTAATAAGTAATAAAATAGTTATGTTGGTCCAAAAAAACTCATTTTATAGACTTAAATGAGTCCGTAAAAAGGAACTTATACAAAAATATAAATTGGAGGTATTGAGACTTATTATTATAAAAAGGCCCATTTTGGCCGAGATTACGCTGTTTTGTTTTTTAATTTCTACCATTCTGTAATCGTTAAACTTACTGTTTTATTTATGCGACTTAAAAAAAATTATGTGTTAGTTTCGTGTATTTTTTATAATGAAAACAACAACTAACATTTTTACACCTTCTCGATATAAAACGATTCGCTTTTCCGATTTGTGAAATAGTAGATTAGATACCAAGGTAGAAAGTGTTTCATTTCTGTCGAGAGATGAAAAAGTGTACCGAGACATTAAACTAGACAAGAAGACGATGGTATAGTAATAGAGGTAAGCAATAGGTCAATAATGAGTCACTTTCCAACCTCCCTCACGGTTAAAAAAGCTAACATTACATATACAAAGTGTTCAAAAAAATTGTAAAATATTTCAGGAGGTAATAGTATGGATCAAAACAACTTCTAGAGCTTATTCCATATCTGGTGGCGAACTGACAGTGACAGAAAAGACAATTGGAGTGCGCCCACTTGCTTAAGATAAAAAAATACATAGGCGTACTTTTTTTCTTTAAAAATTTTGAAGACAAAGATTGTTAGAAATATCATTTCTGAAAATTCTTTTCATGCGTTAACAATTTAATAATTTGTTCATTATTCTTCATCTTATGTATGAGAGTATAATTTTTTAAAAAATAACAGTGGTTTTGAAATATTTCATACGACGCCTATGAACAATATTTTTTTTAATAGTAAACATATGTTTAGTGTCAAAATTCAGTCATTTTTGACAACGTCAGTTCGCCACCAGATTTGGAACAAGCTATAGTAACAATTCTAAAAATTTCCACAATCGATACTTCTGAAACCGTTATTTTGCAGATCCATGTTTATTAAGACTTTTTTGTTTATTTTGGTCCATACAATTACCTCCTTAAAAATTTTCCAATCTTATTTTAACACCCTGTATATGGTTGTGAATCCAATAATTTTCCTTACCATCGACTTTTCCCATGGCCAGAATGGTGATGGTCTTAACGGCGGGAATCGCCCAGGCTGCTAGATGAAAATACTGCGAGTTGGCTTCAATCGCCTCGTGTCCCCATTTCAACCCAGCGGCCAAAAACCACGTCAGAGTCAAAATCACCCACCAAATGCTCGACGCCATGCTGAAGAAATACAAGACCATGAATAAAATCGTGCACAATTCGTATTTGGTCCCTTGTGTGATAATGCTCACTTTTCTGATCCCATCATCAGAAATCGGGGGTTCTTTACAGGCTATCGAATCGCCGGCTATGAAGCCGACGACGTAAGCCAGCGCTACCATTAAATAGCAAACTGATAGGAAAATAATGGGGCGTTCGGGGTACCGAAATCTGTTGGTGTCAATCAAGAATGTGCAAACTGTAAATAGGCAACTGGCCGAGCACAGAACAGCCCATGTTCCGATCCAGACCCGCGAGAATTTCTGTTTGTTCTCGTTGAAGAACATCATGTGGCAGGGGGCCCCGCAGTTTTTCACCACTTTATCCCCGACTTTGAGGGAGTAATCCATGTTCTTCACTTCGAACTGCAGGGGGCACACAAACCCGAAATCCCTGGGATACTTTGCTCTCCCCTTGAAATCAAACTTGGTTTTGGGGTAGTCTGGGGGCTCATTCGCCGGTGTCGGGGTCACACTAATATTGTGCTTTTCCACGCAAAGATTCGAATTTTCGGGGTATTGGTTGCAGTCGAGGTTTTCCGGCCAGTTGTACCCAAACTTCCGCATGATCCCCTCGCAGCCCGACTTGGCCGAGAGACACAAAGAGCGACATGGGGGCACCGGCTTCTCCAGAATTGTGCACACTGGGACGAACACGGAGCACAGGAACAGGTGCAAATCGGCGCTGCAGTTGATCTTAATCAGGGGGAAGTACTGGTGCACCTCGTAGCCGGCGTCCTCCTGGGTGTTGTGCCCCACAAGATTGGGGAAAATGGTGCTGTTGTAGGGGACATCGATGCAAAAAGGCACAGTTATGGGCTTGCACTTGTCATGGGGCGGAATTATTGCGTCTTCTATGTGGGAGATTTCGTGCTGCAAGCCGTTTATGAGGGACGAAAGCGCCAGCAAGAGCAGCGGTTTCATCTTCGTTGCGTGGGAAAGGCGTCGAGGGTCAAAGAAAACACATCATTACAGGAAAAACACCAAAAATTGCACAAAACTATTTCTAATAACATCACAATGAACTTGAACACCCTACGGAGCTGTGGCGGCCATTTTGATCATTTGTTTGCATTAGCAGTGCCACCAATCACTCAAAAAAACACATTTTACCAATAATGAAAGTAGAAAATTCTGCTTTCTATTTATTAAAAACACAGAATTAAAATACAATTTTATTCACTATAAAAACAGAATGATTATTACAACAAAAAAATATTTTTTTTAAAGAGACAAGTACAAACGAAAGTTATCCAACCCACCGTACAATCTCGTATTGATGATGGCCTGGTTTTTCAAATGTAAATAATCAAAAACTGTTATTTTATCAAAAACTTTACTGATATTTTAGTGATTCTGATAATTTGGTTTCAGTGTGAAGTTGGAGAAGCAAAACTATTGTTTTTATTATAGATTAATTTTTAATGAACCGCTAAATGCGTATTAAATTATTTAAACTCTTAAAATTAGCTTGATCAATACAAACAGTTGATAAATTTACTTTGTTATAATCGTTAGAATATTTCACAATGATTGATTGTGAGCAAGTTATTTATTTACCTTCATTGACTTGACCTCTGTTCTAATAATTGTTCCATCAAGTTGAAAATTTTTGTCCTACTGACAACCCCTTATTAGTCTCTGTGAGAAAAGCAACTAAAACTATTATCGTATAGAATATTCAAATAAAAAAAAATTCATTCGTTAGAAAAACGTTATTACAAATTTATTAATGACGCTATCAGTGTTCCCAATATTTGGAAAGAGGGTTAAGAGGGATGTTTTAATAGTTTGACCGATTTATTAAATGTGGAGATTTATGTCAACAAATACCGGGTGACTGTAAATGATTGTGATTTTTATGAATAAGTGGGGTCTCATTTGGCGGCCTTGACTGTCAAATTTCAACGTTGCCAAATCTCACCAGATCTGGTGATTTTTATGCTGTTATTTGATTTGTTGAAAATTTTTGTAAAAATTCTTAATAATTTTTTTTATAATGTTTGGTGATTTTTTGGATATGAAAAAAAACTGTTGTAACTGCGGTTACAATAAAAATACATTTTTGCAACTTTTTCGTTCATCAACCAGAAACTTGATGATTTCCTCGAATTTTTTCAAAAATAAATTGAAAAAAACACCAATTTAATTTAAAACAGTTCTATTTGTTATTTTGACGAGATTTTACTAAATAGAGTAGAAAATAAAAATTTACTTTTGCGTTTTTTAACTATGAAACAATTACACGTTTTGTAAATTTTCGTTAAAAATAGGCCAAAAATTCAACAAATTTGGCTTAAAATGATGTTTTTTTGCATTATCTGAGTGTTTATTAGCATGTTTTATTTTTAGCTTGTTTCTCTCAAAAATTAGTCAAAAATGCTTTTTGCCACAATTTTGTACAAAAATCTCAGTTTTTTGCGAAATTTTGCAAACAACCCAAGTCAACAATCAAATTATTTTTGCATTTTTTGAACGTTTTAGTAGATTTTTCACCTTAAAACTCAATATTTCGATTAAATTTGGTTAGAAAAAGTTTAGTTCTTTCGCAAGAATTTGCTGATTGCTTCAAAAATTTCTAAATAGTAAAAAAAAGATATTACCTAACTCTTAGATTTTCAACGCTATTAGAACGATTTGAATCATAATCTTGTAATCTGCTAAAAAACTGGCAAGTTTTTCAGCTTGGATCTAGTGAATTTTATTTCTTTTGGGCTGGCAACACTGTTCATTAAGCAACATTGTTCATTAGCTTAATCCTGATATTACATTATTTGAATTAGCAATAATTCAGTGTTGCCAATAGATTTTGTCACAAAATTTTATAGTCACTTTGTATAAAATGATTTCAAAAATTTAGCAACTAATTCGTCTTGACAAAAGTCGAAATCATAATAGAATAACTGATTAATAAATCTCTGTGATTTGTAAACAAAAAAACTAATTTTTTCGGACGTCATAAATAAAAAGGTAATTCGCGTTTTGGTCCCAGAAATGCGGAAACCCATGCGCACGATGGTCATTGATGGTCAAGCAAAACAACGCGTCGTCGCATTTCTATGGAAACGACGTCGACCGTCGTCGAAACCCATCATTAATTATTCAAATAACCGAACATTTTCACGGCCTTTCTAGTAGAAATCAACTAGTCCTATGTTAGAATCGGCGCGAAGAACTTGATTCAACATTCGCTTTTTCACTGAAAACTGAAAAGTTTGTGATGGCAAAGTGCGCTGAAAACATGTAGTGACAAGAATGAGTTTATTTTTTTCCAAAGACTCAAAAGAGTGGATTCAAAACGATCTCGCGAGCTCCATGAATAAATCGCAAACGTTTACGCGGCATCCGCGTCGTCTTTCTAGCGACTTGAAAACGAACCAAACTTTTTTTTCGAGGATATAATATGGGAATCTGTTTGGATACAGGTGAGGAGGGCGCAAAACGCTTCAAAATTATTTCATTTTCGATGCGTTTTAAATGATCAAAGAAAAATGATTGGCACTAAATCGATAAACTTATTATTTGTTGTGTCAACTTTGTTACTTTATCTATTCTGACTTGCGAGAAATTTCATTAAAAAGGTGCCTGATTCAAATCTACTTAATTAAACCCATACTAGGAAGTTGCAAAGTTGGGAATCATTAAGGCTTGTGTCGCTAATAAGATTTTCGATTTTATTCAAGTATTCAGAAATAAATTGATTTTGTGAAACTTATTTATAAAATTTAGCTATTTCAACACAGACATAAAATAAAGCATTTCTTATATTTTTTATAAATACACTAATTAATATACATGAAATCCCCGGTTACTCATTTGTCAAGTTTTTCCCAATATGGTCATTTAATCTTTTTTTTTTACTCACAAGTGAGCATTTTCATTAATAATCGTTTGCAAATTTACATAATGTAACGCTTTTTTCCGTACTTTTCCCAGTTATTAAATGTTGTCTTTAAAAATTCAACACAAACATTTGTAAAGGCTTTTTGTCAAGTGGAATATTTATTATTTAAAATTTTCTTGCAATTATCATTTCCACAAGCGATTACCCTAGATGCGCATCTATAACTAATAAAATATTACTCGATCAATAGCTTACCTCTTTATTTTTGACTAAAGTTAATAATTTATATTTTTCCAGTTATGTCCACATTGTTAATTAAGTAAACCAAGAAGTTGAGCGGTTTATTTTAAGAAAACATAATTTTATCGATTGGTTGCAAGCTTGTGGTTACTAAGATTTATGTAATTTATGTTTTCACACAACTGCAACAATATTATAAATACCTAAATGCCTCGTTAAACTTAATTTCGTTGCAGGTTTCGAGCTTGATAAAAGCTTTAATGTTGTAAAGATCGTCCTTGCGATATTTTTTGTATAAATATTTACTGATAAGAATTTTCCAACTGTTAAAATAGAGTTAAAATAAAACTGGCGACGTTTATGAAACACTTTTCGCTAAAACAAACCAAGAAATCAACACATTAAGTCGAAAGTTGTGTTTTTCAAACGTTTTAGTACGATTTTTTTTAATCTAGAAACTCAATTATTTTGTGAAATTTTGATAAAAAGAAGGCGAAAAGTGAAAAAACCGCCAAATTTTGCTTTTTCCGAGTGTTTGAGCATATTTTTGAAATTAAACCAAAAATTTGAGAAAAATTTTGTATAAATAGACGGAAAAATTGTAAGATTAAATCGAAATTGATATTATTTTTTTGCTCATTTTGATCGACTTAACATTGTTTAGCAAAATTAAGACAAAAACAGCCCAAGAAAATACAAAATATGCTCGACGAAAAAGCACGACTTTATTGCTACTAAAATCTCAGATTTTTGTGAGATTTTGTTAAAACAACCAAAAAATCAACAAATTAACTTAAAAGTTACAATTTATGAATGTCTCATAATTCAATTATTTCGCAAATTTTCATTAAAATCAAGCCGAATATTCAATAAATTTGACCAGAAACGGTATTTTTTGCCCTTTCAGAGTGTGTTTAAGCCTATTCTTGATTTGAAATAAAATAAAATAGATGTTTTTTTTCCTAATTTCGCTCGATTTAACTAGTTTTTAAGACAAATTAAGTCAAAAATAAAGCTAAGAAAACACAAAATTTGAACGAAAATGCTTTTAGACACGTTTTTGTGTTAAAATCTCAGGTATTTTGTGAAATTTTGCTGAAGCAAACCAAAAAATCAACAAATTAAGTTAAGAATTATAATATTTTTGCAATTTTTGAACGTTTTATTACGTTTTTTTCAGAACCGCAACTATTTCGTAAAATTTTGTTAAAAACATAAACAAGCCGAAAAACATGGTGTTTTTTCTGCTTTTTCCAAGCGTTTCAGCATGTATCTGAGATAAAACCAAAAAATTTCGAAAAGTTACAAAACTAAATCGAAATTGCTACTATTTTTTAGGTTATTCTTTCGCTCGATTTTGTTCGTCTTTAAACAACAGCTAATTATGATGTTGAAAAATATTTTGTAGAAATATTAGCTGATAAGAGTTTTCCAAGTGTTAAAATAGTGGCGACTTTTCGCAATTTTTGCTAAAACAAACCAAAAAAACAACAAATTTATATTATATTTGGATTCTTGCATTTTTCCAGCGTTTTAGAACGTTTTTTGAGCTAAAAACGCAATTATTTTGTAAAATGTTTTGTTAATAACAAGCCGAATGTTTAAGAAAATTTGCCAAAAATGGTGTTTTTTGTATTTTCCTAGTGTTTAAGCATATTTTTGAAATAAAACCAAAAATGCTGAAAGAAATTTAATTAAACCTAAATCAAAACTGATAATTTTTTTGCTAATTTCACTGGATTTAACTAGTTTTTAACAAAATTAAGGCAAAAATACCTCTAGAAAATACGAAATTTGGTCGAAAATGCTTTTAGACATAATGACTTATTATTGATATAGGTTTTTTCAAGATTTTGCTAAAACAACCCAAAAAATCAACAAATTAAGTCAAAAATAGTATTATTTTTGCAATTTTCGAATGTTTTGTAATTCAATTATTTGGCAAATTTTCGTTAATAAACAAGCCGAGAATTCAACAAATGTGGCCAATAATAATGTTCTATGTCTTTTCCAGTGTTTAAACATATTTTTGAGATAAAATTTAAAAAAATTGAAAAATTGCAAAACTAAATCGAAATTTTTAGTTTTTTCTCTCGATTTTGTTCGTTGTTAAACCAGAGGCTAATTGATTTTGGAAAATATTTGGTGGTAAGAATTTTCCAAATAGTGTTAAAATGAAAGCTCAACAGGCGACTTTTATGCAATTAAAATATGATAAAAGCGCAAATTATCCTTGAGTATTTCGCTCACGCAACGCCACTTGCCATTTCCTCTCTGCAATTAAAAAATAAACTAAGAATGGTTTGATTTTCCGTGCGTGATCACCGAAAGCTTATAGTCAAACATTTTGCATTTAAAGTAACAAGGAAATGTTTCGCGTGATTGCACAATAGCCGATTATTAAACATGGCGCAAGAAGTGGCTATTTATAAAAGAAAATTTAAAAATAGGCCTCAAACTGCATTAAAAAAGAAAGCTTTGTGACCTTGAGTATTGTGGTGATATGATCGGTCAAGGGTGGCCTAATCTATAAAATTGGTGGAAGTTTTGTCTGTAATAAATTACAAAGCTCACGCATTTGAATTGATGATTTCTGTTTTTGTTTTGATTAAAATAAATAATGTGATTGTTCTAGAACAAAGTGATGGTTCTCAAGCTTTCGAAGAAGGGCAGGACACTTGGGTGCAGAATACGCCACGAAGGGCCGAACCGGGTGCGAATACACCGCCGACGGGGAAGTTACCCATGCAAAACGACACAAATGTGCAGTTTGAATCGCCAAAAGTGCCGGTTATATTTGTTCTTGGTGAGTTGGTAATGACTTTGAAAAAAGGTTGGCAACGTTGAAAAATAGGGGAATGTAAATGACAAATCTTAATTTGGCAATATTGACTGCCAAATTCAAATGTCACAAATTTATAATCAATTGTCATTCATTTCGTTTTCATATTAATGTGCATCAAAGTAATCGTTGAAAGAGATCATAAGGTGGTAACCATGCAAAAATTAAAACAATCCTAACTTCAATCTTTCCTAAAAATGATATTCTCAAATAAATATGTGTACAACATGTAGCAAGAAATAATTAAAATTAACATAGGGTGGCGAACATAAAGGATTTTTGTCATTATTTTGTCATTAAATTTGTTCTGAATGACACTTTTTGTGTGGATCGGCCTTTAAATTAAAGATGCATTTAGAATTCTACAACCTACTTGATGCATATTAGTATGAAAAAGAGTATGTTTAAATCAACGGTAATTCAGTGTTGCCAATCATTTACCGTCAAGCTGTTTAAAAATTGACTAATTTTTCTATTATCGATGTTGTCAATTTATCATCAAAGTGTCATTAACAAAAATCAATAATAAAAAACTGAGAGCTCGCTGTTTCACTTATTTCTTCATTTCTTTTTATTATTCATGTATCTTACTAACCAAGTTTGCAATATTTTGGCAGAATAAGGCAAAAAAAATTGCTAAAATAAATCTAGAGTAAATTGTTTCCTATGAAATTAAGACTGAAACGCATTTTTTGCTTTATTTTCGCAAGTTTTTTTTTAATTCCTTGAATACAATTTTTTTTTTAAATAAAGCATCATCCCACAATAACATCTAAAATGCATTTTTTTTTATTTTGACATCAACTTTAGAGCATTTGTCACAGAGACAACATTTATTATTGCTGCATTTTTATGAAATATGAACATCTTTCACCGAATAAAAATCTTTAGGGTGTTTTTTAAAGGCGAGAATCTCACTAGAGCATCGTAAGATTTTGAAAAAACAAAGAAAAAATTACAAAATTAAGTCTAAAATGTGTTTTTGTTTGTTTTGATAGATTTAAGGCGTTTTTTAAGAAACTTACCAATTTCGAAATGTTAGAAAAAATAAAGCAAAAGTTTGGCAAAATTAGGTATACATATGTTATATTTGTCATAAAATTAAGTCTAAAATGAATTATTTTTGCTAATTTTGTTAAATTTAAGGCGTTTCTCAGCAAGATTCGTATAAAACTCGAGGGATTTTGACAAAACAAAGCAGAAATTGTGGCAAATTGCATAATTTTTGCTAGTTTTAATGGATTTAGAGTGCTTTTCATTAAGAAACTCACTAAATTTAAAAGATTTTGTTAAAACAATGTAGGTAGTAAATTGTAAAATTATTTTTAGAATTGCATTATTTTATTCTTTTTTCGACAAATCAAGCGCTTTTTTGAGTATTTTGACCTAAAAAACAAAGCAAAAAATCGCTAAATTATGTGTGGACATGTTATTATTCATGAATCTAAATCTAAAATGCATTATTTTTTTCACATTTTGATAAATTTAGATAGTTTTTTAACTGACACAATTTTAGAGATTTTGCCAAAACAAAACTGAAAATCAAAAACTCAAATGAATCACCGAAGCTCACCCCTAATTACCTCCCTGCTTGAGTCTATTTTAATTAAAGAATACGTTTTTTTTATTTTGCGTCTTGCATAGAATTAAAGAATACGTTTTTTTTATTTTGCCGTTGGACGTCAATTGCTTTCAAAATTCTTACAAAATTTCACAAATTTCACAGTGACAAAAAAAACTGCTAGCTCGTGTCACCAATTGGCGAAAAATTAATTCCCTAAATTCAAGCAATTGTTTGTTCCTTAACTCCTTAACGACTTGGTTTGGCACATTTTAGACTTTTAGACAATGATATGTTTCTTTCCTAGTCAACATTTTTTATTTTAAGTAACAAATTATGAAAAAAAAAACATTACCACATACATGTTTTATCCGGATCAATATTCGGTATTGTTTAACATTGAAAACATTGTCATTGCTGATCCAATTGACGCAAAATTCCCTAAATTATTTTTTTCCTTTAAAATAAGCAGAAAAAACGCCCCAAAAAAAAAACAGTACCTATTACCAAAAACCATTCAAATAATCGTTTGTTCCTCAACTCGCCATTACTTGATTCGAATCAGAATTTGAAACCTATTCCACACCAATTTCCCGCTTTCATATAGTTATTTTAGCATTTTTACATTACTTTTTTAATGACAAAAAGACAAATAGTCCTGATTTTATGATATCGTGAATGGATTAGTGTAGATGTAAAGCAAAAACTGAATTTCAGGAGGCCCAGGCAGCGGCAAGGTGACTCATTGATAATTTCGATACATTTAGTGTTTTTCTCACTGAATTTAAAAGTTTTTGTTAAAACAATTTAGTAACTTGTAAAATTGGATCTAGAATTGCATTGTTTTGTGCTTTTTTCCTACAAATTTAAAGTATTCTTGAATAAAAAACTGGAAAGAATTTAGTAAACCAAAGCAGAAAAACGCTAAATTATGTTACTGTTTTCGAAATTAAGTGTGAAATGCATTATTTTTGCACTTTTTATAAATTTAGATAGCTTTTTAGCAAAAAGCACAATATTTTAGAGATTTTTCCAAAACAGGGCAGAAAAATTTTAAAATAAAATGGACCATCCGACCCCACCCCTAATTACTTCGCTGCTTGAGTGTATTTTAATTAAAAAACACGTTTTTTTATTTTGCGTTTTAGCAACACTATTAACTAACTCATTTGGGTGCGTTAACAGCTTAGTGTATTTTATGTTTTGAATGTTGGTGATAATACCGTTGGACTCAATCTTTGAACCAATTTCCTCAATTTCGCTGGTGGACATGAAAAATCTTGAGAATTAATTTCCAGATTACAAACAGTTAGTTCGAGTTGAATTTTCCAACACTACTAACAAGTGTCACCAATTGACGCAAAATTCCCTAAAATTATTTTTTTAACCGCTAAAAAGCGCAAAATAGAAAAAATTGGATTAAAGTCTCGTTATTGAATTTCTTTCAAGCAATCGTTTGTTTCCCAACTCGCCGCTACGCGGCTCGTAACGGAATTTCGATTTCTTGATTGAGTTGTAAGTTATTGATTTTTACTGCACGATTGTTTTGCGATAAATCATAGTAAAAATTTATGATAAACAAAACTTGTTTCAAACTTTCCGAAAACATAAAATTACAGACTGCTATTTCCAATATATTTTTATTTATATTTTAGTACATTGTTTCTTCAAAATGAAAGCACGACAATTTCTGCCCTATTATTAGGCCCAGTTTATACTTCTAATATTCATAATATAATTATTTTTGATCGATCAATTTTCAATTACGACTTGGTTCGGCACATTTTAGACTTTTAGACAATGATATGTTTCTTTAGTGGTCAACATTTTTTATTTCAAGTAACAAATTATAAAAAAAAAACATCACCACATACCTGTTTTATTCAAATCATTATTCAGTATTGTTTAACATTAAAAACATTGTCATTCCTGTTGCAACTGACGCAAAATTCCCTAAATTATTTTTTTTCTTTAAAATAACAGCAAAAACGCGCCAAAAAGAAAAAAACCATTCCAATAATAAAATAATAAATATAAAAAAATTATAATAAAATAATAAAATAACAAAAATAATAAAATAAAATTTGAAACCTATTCGACACCAATTTCCCGCTTTCATATAGGGTGCGCCAGAACTCGCGCCCCAGAGAAAATTTTCGAGAAAGGTAAGATACCAGGAACATGAAAAAAATGTTTAAAAAATTCTGTCAAAAAATTTTGACATTTGACCTTTTTTTATATCTATTTAAGGATACTGATGATCTTGTATACTGGGTGCGCCAGAACTCGCGCCCCAGAGAAAATTTTCAAGTAAGGTAAGATACCAGGAACATGAAAAAAATGTTTAAAAAATTCTATCTGTCAAAAAATTTTGACATTTATTTTTTGACACTTGAAATTTTTCTATATCTATTTAATGATACTGATGATCTTGTATATGTTTTTTTTACAATTATTAAGTAAAGGGATAAAAATTTTGACAATAAAAGCCACAAATAACATTGAACAGAGTTACAATTTAGGATACAGCTTCCTTGTTTCCTCTTTTATTAGCCTATAGCAAAAAAACTTGGAAAATTATTTTTCCAATAGAAATAAATAGAGTCAAAGTGCAAACTTTAAACCCTCATAACTTCGAAATTTTTATAGATATTTTTTTTAACATTTTTTCCATGTTCTTGGTATCTCACCTTATATGGCATTTTTCTTTGGGGCGCGAGTTCTGGCTCACCCTGTATGTTTTTTTTACAATTATTTAGTAAAGGGACAAAAAATTTGCCAATAAAAGCCACAAATAACATTGAACAGAGTTACAACTTAGGATAAAGCTTCCTTGTTTCCTCTTTTAATAGCTTATAGCAAAAAAACTTGGAAAATTATTTTTCCAACAGAAATAAATAGAGTCAAAGTGCAAACTTTAAACCCTCTTAACTTATGGCATTTTTCTCTAGGGCGCGAGTTCTGGCGCACCCTGTATAATTATTTTAGCATTTTTACATTACTTTTTTAATGACAAAAAGACAAATAGTCCAGATTTTATGATATCGTGAATGGATTAGTGTAGATGTAAAGCAAAAACTGAATTTCAGGGGGCCCAGGCAGCGGCAAGGTGACTCATTGCGACAGCCTCATGCAAGAAAAGAAAGGCATCACACACATCAACATGACTGATCTCCTCCAGCAATACGCCATCGGCAACGGTAAGCAAAAAAAAATGAATGAAATTACAAACATCACCAGCTCGAAACACATGAAAACGTTAAATAATCGTTACGTTTGTGACGTTCACAAAATGATTCAATTTTTGTTAAACCCCCAGATGGACAAACGAGCTTAATCAATATCGGTAGCGTTCCCACAAGTAAATCCTCCTCTCTTGAGTGAATTGCTAGGCGAAGTGTTTCATGCACGTGTAGATGTAGATAAAAAAATCATTAGCTTGGCTGTAAACTGCTACAAAATCGCAATTATAAATTGATCGGATTAACCAATAATTTTCCCATCGATTATTTCAAAATTTGTTCAAGGTATTAGTGAAAATTTCTCATTGACGTGTGATTTATTTGCACAAAAGCATGCGGTTGCAAATTATCGCCAAGTTTCATCTCTGACAAATTAACTGTTTTACAGATATGCAAGATTTCGGCTTGTTGTCGAGTAAGACCGTCACCGAAGTGCTCATGCTGGAAATGAAGATGGCGCCGACGGCGAAGACGTATCTCGTTTCGGGGTTTCCCAGAAATATGAGAGACGTCGTCGAATATTCGGAAAAAGTGAGTAAAAAAGCAATTCATTAACTGATCAAGTGATTAGGGAAATTGTTTGCACAATGTACGTTAATTACCAACGATTTACGATTTAGCAGTTGGTAATTATGTGTTTAAATTCGCGTGCTTGAGCACCTGTTTAACATAACATTTGAGAAATGCGGCATTTTTAACGATGTGATAAACAAAACGTAAATCTAATGAAATAAATTTAAAGCCTACGATTTTGGAATTAAGTTGGTAGCATTGAAGAGTGTAATACACGTGTGCAAATCGTGGCTACATACTCACATTTTCCTATATTCGCATATGAATAATTAACCAAGACAAGTGCTCTCTAATTAGAAAAAATTTATTGAGTTTTCTATCGAAACGCGTATTTATTATTCATAATTACATTTCCTCACTCACCACCTACCTATTAGAATATACTAGCTTAGCACTATAACTACAAAATTGCTATAACTTCATTATTTATTAACCGATTTTGTTATTTTTTTTAATGTTGGCAGTAATTCATTCTGAGTGAGCCACCGCTCGTGAAAAAAAAAACAAAAAATGATCTTTTGTTTAAAAATTTGAATTCTTTTTTGAACCATTTTGTGTTAAGTTTTGCACTAATTACTCAATCAATCTGTCGAATTATGGATTTTTAAAATATTTTTTATTGAAAGAGTTGGCAAATAAAAATTAAAACAGCCAAAAACAACTCGAATCGGTGTTTTTGAATCAAAAATTGAGCAAAATACAAATTTTAACACACAATAAATACTCAGTGTTATGTGAATCTTCCAAAAATGTCAAATTTTAACAGTTTGGACATTTGACAGTAAAGAAATAATCAACGTTTCAAATAATAATTTTTTATATTGACAATAAAAAGAAGCCGATTTTTAAAACAAAAATTTCAATTAAATTTTTTGTTCATCTATCGCATGTCGCATTACAGCCGGCCGCGGAGTAGGGGTAAAGTGCCAAGGCCGATATGGCGGCGCTCATGGCTCGCATCGGCTGATCGTGTAGCATTTATATTCTTACTCATTCGTGCAACTGCTCCGCGGTATTTGTGTGTTTTGATCAGTGTAATGATCCAAAAAAAAGTTTTACTTGCATCGTGGTTTCTTTAAACCATAGCAGTTTTTTATTTTTCTTGTCGAAAAATCTAAGACGTGTTCTGATTGGTTGATTTTAAAAGACGTAATTGATTGGATCGAACAATGACACTCAACTTTAACGCATTAAATAATTTTTTACTTTTTATTGGTCTAATAACAAATAAAATAAAATTAAAATAAAATAACTCACATTAAACGCTGATTTGTTACAAAAATTTGATTCGGAATTCAATAATTATTCATGATTTTTTAAATCGGTGGAGTTACTTACCATTTTAGGTTTTTGTCCGATTTTGGCTAATAAGAAATAAAAATCGGTTTGACCCTTGTAATCGGACCAATAAATTAACAAATGTGTCCAACCAATCAAATTCAAGATTTTGCAAAAACCTCACCGATTATCCATAAAAAACTGTTTTAATTCAATTCGAATTTGCTTTGAAAAAGACGCAAAAATAATGAATTTAAATTAATTTTTCCAATTAGCCACGAAAAACGAAAAATAGATAGATTATTTTGTCATTTTTTTCTCAGTGGATTCTAAAAAAATGCAGATTATAGTATATCATATCACAAGGTAGAGAAGAGATTTTTTTGCCGCGATGTTTATTTCCAGAGATGCGTAGATAATTTTTCAATGTTTCAAAATGATTAAAAAATGATTTGATTGTTTCAGATCCAGATGTTAAGCGGTGCGATTATGATCTCTTGGCGGCAAAAAGTTTTGGAAAGACAAATCGATTATGGTGCCAAATTAGGTCAAGTGGTTCTCTCATTGGCCAGAATGGAACTCAACAATTTTTACAAAAATGTGATGCCAGTAGCCGATTACTTCGACCAGAGCAATATGCTAATATCGGTAAGTAAACTTTGTGCAATTTGAAACGCAAACACCGCTTTGTTTACTACCGGAAAATCCGGGTCGTTGTTTAGGACTTCCGGCAATTCAAGACTTGGTCCGGCATCACGCGATTTTTCCACGTAGTTATAATCATGGACTGAAAAATTATCTATTTCAAAAATTGTTAATTATTATTAAATAAGAGACACAGTTTACTCAATTTGTCATTACACACTATTGATTTTTACATTAGGTCGTTTGAGAAGGTTGTACTTTAGTAAAATTTTCAGGATTAAATAACAAACACATTTAAAAAGAATAATGCTTTATGCGTAAATCAATTACATCGTAACGCGGTTGACCTCTAAGCAATGACAATGTTTTCAATGTTAAACAATACCGAATATCGATCCGGTTAAAACATGTATGTGGTGATGTTTTTTTTTCATAATTTGTTACTTAGAATAAAAAATGTTGACTACTAAAGAAACATATCATTCTCTCAAAGTCTAAAATGTGCCGAACCAAGTCGTAATTGAAAATTGATCGATCAAAAATAATTATATTATGAATATTAGAAGTATAAACTGGGCCTAATAATAGGGCAGAAATTGTCATGCTTTCATTTTGAAGAAACAATGTACTAAAATATAAATCAAAATATATTGGAAATAGCAGTCTGTAATTTTATGTTTTCGGAAAGTTTGAAACAAGTCTTGTTTATCATAAATTTTTACTATGATTTATGGCAAACAATCGTGCAGTTAAAAAGCAATAACTTACAACTCAATCAAGAAATTGAAATTTCGTTACGAGCCGCGTAGCGGCGAGTTGAGAAACAAACGATTGCTTGAAAGGGCTTCAATAACGAGGTTTTTATACAATTTTTTTCTTTTGCGCTTTTTTACTGTTTAAAAAAATAATTTTAGGGAATTTTACGTCAATTAGTGACACTTGTTAGTAGTGTTGGAAAATTCAACTCGAACTAACTGTATGTAATCTGGAAATGAATTCTCAAGATTTTTCATGTCCACTACCGAAAATGCAGGAAATTGGTTCAAATATTGAAAGCAATTTACGTCCAACGGTATTACATATCACCAACATTCAAGACATAAAATACACTAAGCTGTTAACGCACCCAAATGAGTTTGTTAATAGTGTTGCTAAAACGCAAAATAGAAAAACGTGTTTTTTAATTGAAATATAATCAAGCAGGGACGTAATTAGGGGTGGGCTCGGATGGTCCATTTTATTTTATAATTTTTCTGCCCTGTTTTGGAAAAATCTCTAAATTATTGTGAGTTTTTTGCCAAAAAGCTATCTGAATTTATAAAAAGTGCAAAAATAATGCATTTCACACTTAATTTCGAAGACAGTAACATATTTTAGACGTAATTTAGCGTTTTTCTGTTTTAGTTTAGTAAATTTTTTCGAGTTTTTTGGTCACGATTACTTTAAATTAGTAGAAAAAAAAGCACAAAATAATGCAATTCTAGATCCAATTTTACAATTTATTACATTGTTTTAACAAAAACTTTTAAATTCAGTGAGAAAAACACTAAATGTATTGAAATTATCAAAAATTATGCATTTTTGACTTAATTTGACAAAATTTTTACTATGTTTTCGCAAAATCTTCCGAGTTTTGTAAGTTTCTGAAAACCGCAAATAATTCGCAAAAAATTTATATGAAACTAAATTTGTAGAAAATTTTACATATTAAGACCTAATTTTCTAATTTTCTGATTTGTTTTTTTAACATATCGAATTTGGTAAGCCGTCTTAAATCTACAGGGTGATTCTTAAATACACCGACAAAATATTATCACAGCTTTCCAAGAATAAATGGAGACAAACTGTACCTTTTTTACGTTTATATCATTTAGGGGCAAAACCCCCTTGATCCGTGTCACTTAGGGCGTTTATGGATTGTTGCAATGATGAAGTACATTATCATCAAATTAATACCATGGTTTCCACTACCTGTGCTAATACTATTTACGAAGACATCAGTGGCGTACGCTTTACCTCAAAAATAATTTTAATAAATTTTATTTGGAGAAAGATTAAACAAAGAATTTTTTAAATAATTTTTCCAGCATGTTCTCATTTGATACTACCAAGGATAAAATTTTGTCGGTCTATTTAAGAATCACCCTGTATTTAAAACATGCAAGAATAACGCATTTTCTATCTTAAAAAAAACGTTCTAATGATTTTTTATTCGGTGAAAAATGTTCGAAATTCATAAAAAAAGTAAAAATAATGCCTTTCCGACCAAATTTTGTGATAGTTTGCTTTAATTAATTTAGGGAGTTTTGCGTCAATTGGTAACAAGTAAGAGTGTTATTCAAGGCTTTGGAAAATGCAACTAACATTAGTCATTATGCGTAATCTGAAAGTAAAGATTTTTTCATTCCTGTTCTATCACTTTAACATTTTTCTATTAGAAATATTTTAAATTAAATGTTTTTTATTTTAATAACTTTCCAGTGCAATTATTAAAAGACTTGGCACACATATTTGACAGCTTTGTTACCAAAACACTCACTCACGCACTGCTCAATTTTATTTTCAGCCGATTTAAATAGCTATATTTTAAAATTATTAAATCTTGAATAAAAAAAATCTATCTTGAATGAATTTTAGCGTTGTTAAAAACACAAAAAATAAAAAAATATCCCGGCGCATCCACCATTTGTTAATAAACTAATTTGAAAAAGAAGCAAAGAAAATTTCTATTAAAAGTTAGTTTGCTGTTTAATAGCCCAAAAACGGTTCTCGAAAACACGTCACACCTTCATTATTAAAGCAAACGTTTCGGTAATTAATAATTTATTCACAAAGCCATATAATCTGTCTCATCGATCGATAATTTCCCCGTCTTGTTAATTAAAAATTGATTTCCAGATAAACGGCGAAAGACATCCTTCAAACGTCTATAAGGACTTTCGAGCAGCAGTATTCAAAATTCTCGGAATGCAAGACAACCCTCCAGTATTCACAAACGGCAAAGTGGCCACCGTCCCAACCGACGTCACCACCGAGCTTCCAACAGTGGTAAAATTCGCATTTTCCTCTGAAATTTTCCGTTGTTTAGTATTTCAAGCAATCGATCATAATAGACTTATAAATTGTACATCACAAAAGTAAAGCACAATCGATAGCCAAAACAACAGACATCAAAACATAAAATAGTTATTTTCGATACAAGTGCGCCGTCAAATTATTTTTCAGGACTAAGACCGAATTTTGCGGCACGAAGCGAAGCTGAGTGCTGCAGTGGAGGTCGAAGACCTGAAAAATAAGACATCGCACGTGTTTCAAACAACATTTTTCATGATCGTCAGCGAAATTTCATAAAAAACGTGAATTTATTGAAAATTTTGAGGTTAATTTTGACAGATGTCAAATCAATTATATAAATTGAAAAATTTATATACTTTTTTATACAGGGTGAATATAAAATATGGAACCAAGCGGTTTTATTTTTAATCATTTGCCTCCAGAAAATAATAATTAATATAAATTAAAGTAATATAAAAAATGTGATCGTATTTTCAGAACGAAATTTTGTTTTGTTTTTGAGTTATGCGATTTTTTTTGTCAAAATTGCAATTTATGTGAAAAATTAAAAGTGGGTAAGGGAGTTACACCCCTGGAAGGGGGCTAATATGTTTTTGCTAATATTTCAGAAACCATTTAAGATATAATTACAAAAATGGTACAGATGATAACCTTTATACACCTAAACGAATTCAAACATCGAATGTCGAAATTTTTAATCAGGGGCGTACGAAACTGGGGGAGTTTAAAGTAAAAAATATCCTATTTATTTTGGCTTTAGTTTCTCGGTACTTTCAGCAACAAAATCTTAAGTTCGATAGTCTCTTTTGTGTAAATACGACTTATTGTTTTTGAATAAAATTTATTTAAAATTTATGTTACACACCAATACAACATTCAAATAAATCATAATTTACAGAATACTAAAAGCAAGAAATTCATATTTTTTAATCAACCTCAACTAATTAACATTACATTACAGCTACAATAATAACATTAATGAATAACATAAATAACATAACATAACATAATAACATAAATGAATTTGCCTAAATCTAAAGGAGTTGTTCAAAGTGACCACCATTTTGGTCAATGCATAACTAAAGAAATTAAAGCCAAAATAGATAGGGGATTTTTTTACCCTAAACCCCACCAGTTTCGGACGCCCCTGATTAAAAATTTCGACATTTGATGTTTGAATTCGTTTAGGTGTATAAAGGTTATCATCTGTACCAAATTTTGTAATTTTATCTTAAATGGTTTTTGAAATATTAGCAAAAACCTATTAGCCTCCTTTCAGGGGGTGTAGCTCTCTTACCAAGCATTTTTCGATACATGTTTATACGAAACTTTTGTCTTAGAATTGAATATCCTATCACCTGTTTAAATTTGTAACAATAACACCCTGTATATTTTTTTTCTTCAGCAAGCCTTACCTCCGGTCCCGACAAATGTGCAAACCAACGAACCCGAGAGACCCAAAACCCAGGTGATTTCAGTGACGACCAACAACCAGCACAACTACCAGTCGCCGGTGAAGGCCGGATGGCCCCCAGTTTTGTGGGTCATCGGGGGCCCCGGGAGCAACAAGGCGGCTCTGTGCTCGCAAGCGGCCAAAGACACCAGATGGACGCATATCAGTCTGGGGAAGTTGCTCAGAGCCGCAGCTGAGCCCCCTGATCCGAGACATAACAGCGAAACGGCCAAAATTAGGGAGAGTATAAGTGGGGGAGAGTTGGTGCCCCTGAATATCGTGATGAAGTTTGTGGAGTCGCATATGGCGGCCAATATGGCGGCGCCGGGCATCATCCTCGACGGGTTCCCGAGGGATATGACGCAAGCCACCGAGTTTGAAGCCAAGGTAAAAAATCAAAAGTTAAGGTGGCAACACTGAAGAAACCACGCTGTAAATCTAGAAATACATGCTGTCCGGAAAGTCGCACACCTCTTTGAAATGGAGTAATTGGGTAGTCCCCCAGAGTACTAAAAAATGTTTACAAAACCCTATCTGTCGAAAAAATTTGACATTTATATTTTGACATTTGACATTTTTTTATGTCTATTTAATGATACTGATGATTTTGTATATGTTTTCTTCTATTTTGTAAAGGTACAAACATTTTGACAATAAAAGCCACAAATAACATTGAACAGAGTTACAGTTTAAGACAGCTTCCTTGTTTCCTCTTCTAATAGCCTGTAGCAAAAAAACTTAAAAATTTATTTTTCCAATAGAAATAAATAGAGTCAACGTGCAAAATTTAAACTCTTATAACGATAGACAGATTTTTTCTTTTCTCTTGGGCATCGCCCGAAAATACAGTGTTAGGAAAGTGCGCGACTTTACGGACACTCTGTATTTAAAAATACCAGAAGAAAAATTTTGTGTTTTTTATAAGAAAATAAAGATTAAAACAAATAAGTAACTTATTTATTAATTGTCAAGGTTATGACTGTTAAGGCCACTAAAACTGTGAAATGTTGGATTTTAGTACATTCAAAAATTAAAAAATAACAAATATTGATTTTTGTTTAAGTTTTAAAGTCATACTATAAATGTTTATGACAAAAAAATGTATTGGCAACACTGAAATATTGGTAATTTTCTTAATTTCCATTTGAATTTGAAAATCCAGTTTATCAAACTAAAATTTTGACACCAACTTAGGGATAAGAATCACAATCATTTTCAGTAACTCGATATGTCAAATTTAGTAAGTTTCTCACTCAGAAATATCACTATTCTCCTTTCAACCACAATTTTTTTTACTTTTTTCAACAAATTCTGTTAGAGTTAGCGAATTTGTAGCTTAAAAACGTGTTAATCGTTCTAAATGACAATTTTTTTGACTTGTTAAAAGTTAAAGTTGACCTCAACTTGACGATAAAAATCACAATCTTTTACAGTCACTCCGTATGTTGAATTTTGTAAGTTTTTCCGCAAAAAATAGAGCTATTTTCTCTTAAACGACAATTTTTAGCTTTTTTACAAAATCTGTTAAATTAAGTGAATTTGTGATTTTTTTGTTTGTTTGTTTGAGTAAAATCTACTGGATGACTATAAATGTTCGTATAAAAAAATCTGTTGGCATCTCCGAACAATTGGCTATCCTTCTAATTTGTTATATCAAAGAATGTCAAGGTTGCCAAACTAAAAATTTAGATTTGACCCTAACTTGACGATAAAAAATATGTCTCCCTTAAACGACGATTTTTTTGGTTTCTTTTTAAATTCTTTTTAAATGACATTTTTTTGACCTTTTGACAGTTAAAGTTGACCTCAACTTGACGATAAAAATCACAATATTTTACTGTCACCCGGTATGTTGAATTTTGTAAGTTTTTCTCCAAAAAATAGCGCTATTCTCTCTTAAACGACGATTTTTGGCTTTTTTTACAAAATCTGTTAAAATAATTGAATTTGTGAAAACCACAATCATGTTTCATCCGGTATGTCAAACTTACTTATGTCAAATAGCGCTATTCTCTCTTAAACGACGATTTTTTTGTGTCTTCTTTTTTAAATCCTGTTAAATTTAGTGAATTTGTCGTTTAAAAACGTGTTATTTGCTCAAAATGACGATTTTTTGTTTGTTAGTGGCAAAAAAAATTATTGGCAACATTGAATAATGTAATATGTTTGTGGTTGTTTCACGTAACCACTAAACCAAATGACAATTGTCAATATAAGTTTGACGTTTGATTTTGACAGTGTTGCCAAACCAAAATTGATTTGTCAACAAACAATTGTTGTGTGTTGCAAATAATCGATTTTGATGATATAAAAAAACTAGAAAAAAACTCAAATTTTGAGCCCGCGTATTAATTAATTAATTAGCACATATCATGTGTGTTTCTCGAACTAAACGTTTAATTAAATACTAACGACTGACGTCACAATTACCACCTACATAAACATTTATGCTTTCCCGAAGTTATACCTCCTTCAAACGTGTAATTTTCTCCATGCCTCAATTAAATATTAAGTGTTCCATGAAGGCCGAGCCTGAAATTATCTGAAAGCTGATGTTTTTCTCAAGTGTCCTAATTGGTGTTTTTCAGTTCAAACAGAAGCCGTCGATTGTCCTCCTCGACTGCTCGAAGCTCCAGCTGGGGCGAGGGCGTCTGGACGACAGCGTGACGGCTTTCAGGCGCCGCTTGGAGATTTTCAGACAGTCGTCGTTGCCGATGCTGAAAACGATGGACAACATAGGGAGGTTGACGATCGTAGACGGGGACACAGACACGGCCCCCGTCCAGGACGATTTCAGGAACGTGGTGAAGGAGCACATCGAGTATTTGAAGCGACAGCAGGAGGAGCCCGTAGCTAATGGGTTTGCCAATGGGCATGTGCCCAACGGGGAGGCTACGCTCCAGGACTTGGAGGCGGAACCCATCGAGACCATCAGCAAACACGTGAGCAATGGGGTGGCCCATTCGGTGGCAAATGGGGTGCGCACCATGGCCAATGGGTTCACCAATGGGCACATACCCAATGGGTATGCCGCCTTCGACGGCCCAGATAACAGACACATGTACAACGAACTTAATTACATGGAAGGACACATTTAGTGATTTGATTTGTGATACTAAGGACTTGTAGGTAGTTTTTAGTGTTAATTTAGGGCTCAAGTGTGCCTTATGGTCGGTTTTAATGATTGATGACGAGTTTTTTAAGACGGGATCCAACAGTATTCTAGATATTTAAGCATAGTATTAAACACATTATTTCATAACGTTTTTACTGAAAAAAGCCGCTGGTCGGTTTATTATTTCATTGTTATTGATAAGTGAATAAGTGGCAAACATTTGAGATTCTCTAAAATAGTTGCACGAAAATCACTGCACGAGATTTCACGAAATATATTTTCAAAAGTCGAGTAGTATTTTCAGCCTATCGAAGTTTAACTGTAAAAACTGGCTTTTTCCTGAATTCAAGATAGGTGTTTATGCTACATATGGACTGACAAGTATTTTTTTACAAAGCCTGTTTTTTAATCAAAGAACTTGATTTTGGCTAACGTGAGTTTATTTCCGGCTGTTTCATCTTTATTGAAAAACAGAAATTAGTATATTTGGGCAATATACGAGTATGATTTTTAGTTTTAGGTTTAAATTTTTGTGTATTTATTTGATTATAAACTTTGTTTTTGTTGTAAACATTAAAAATAAAGATAATCCAAAAATAAACAATATAGTTTTTCTATTTTGGTATCACAATGAGCATTTTGTGTTACTGAAAACGGCTGAATAAAATGCAATTTTGTGAAACTAGGCGATTTTTGCTTAAACGGGCATTACTATATTGATAAATACAGGATGCGCCAGAACTCGCGTCCCAGAGAAAATTTTCAAGTAAGGTAAGATACCAAGAACATTAAAAAAAATTTTAAAAATTCTATCTGTCAAAAAATTTTGACATTTATTTTTCGACATTTGACATTTTTTATATCTATTTAATGAAGGATACTGATGATCTTGTATATGTTTTTTTACAATTATTTAGTAAAGGGACAAAAATTTTGCCAATAAAAGCCACAAATAACATTGAAAGAGTTACAATTTAGGATACAGCTTCCTTGTGTCCTTTTTTAATAGCCTATAGCAAAAAAACTTGGAAAATTATTTCTCCAACAGAAATAAATAGAGTCAAAGTGCAAAGTTTAAACCCTTATAACTTCGAAGTTTTTATAGATAAAGTTTTTTTAACATTTTTTCCATGTTTTTGGTATCTTACCTTAAATGGCATTTTTCTCTGGGGCGCGAGTTCTGGCGCATCCTGTATTTTGTAACACTTCATTAAAAACAGCCCAAAAATTCAACAAATCTGGCTAAAAATGATGGTTCTTCGTATTATCTCAGTGTTTATTAGCATGTTTTATTTTTTAGCTTGTTTCTTTAAAAAATTAGTCAAAAATGCTTTTTGCCACAATTTTGTACAAAAATCTCAGTTTTTTGCGAAATTTTGCTAAAACAACCCAAAAAATCAATAACACAAGTCAAAAATCAAAATATTTTTGCATTTTTTGAACGTTTTAGTGCATTTTTCACTTTAAAACTCAATATTTCGAAACATTTGGTTAAAAAAAGTTTAGTTTTTTTGCAAGAATTTGCTATGATTTCCATGTTCCTGGTATTTTACCTTATATGGCAATTTTCTCTGGGGCGCGAGTTCTGGCGCATTCTGTATAACTGTTGTAACAAAAAATCTATTGGTAACATTGTATGATTGGTAATCCTAAAATTGAAAAAAAATTGCAATAAAAACACCAAAATCGAACAGAAAAACTTTTATTCAATAAGCTGAATAATTTAATTATTAATTAAATTAATTAATTAATTAATTTAAGAATTAATAAAATCCATTATGTCTCTTGGTTAGTAAAGTAATTCCTCAGCGCGTCCAAGGCGCGATACCGATGCGAAATCTTATTCTTCTCCTCTTTGGGCATCTCGGCGTAGGTTTGCGTGTACCCCACTGGCTGGAAGCACGGATCCCAGCCGAAATCCCTCGGCCCCCTTGGCTCCACAATCTCGCCATCCGTGCGCCCCTCGAACAGAACCACATTACCCCCCTCATCGCCCGGATGATACGCAAAAGTGCAAACGGCTTGCGCACTCTTATCCTCATACCCAGCCAACAATCGGTACAGCCCCTCGGGCCCCAACTTGTCCAAGAACCATTTGATGTAAGGGCCGGGTAAACCCCCCAAGGCGTTGAAACACAGACACGTGTCTTCGACAATACACGGCCCTTTGATGATGTCGTAGGCCGCTTGGCATTTCCGGGTGCAAATATCGGCGATTTCACCCTGGAGCTCCGGGAGGTCCACTTTTTGACTCACCACTTTACGGGGGAAAGTCGAGCCGAGGATGGCAACCACTTCTTCGAGCTTTTTAGCGTTTCCGGTGACGAATGTCAGTGGCTTAGACATGGTTTTTCCAAAAAATTGAAAAAAGTGAGGTTATGTAATGCCGATTAGAGGTTAGGTTTTTGTCAGTTGAAGCCAAGATAAAAAGGGGTAAAATCGTTGAAATTGGCACAATTTTGCAAACATGAGCCGGAAAGAAGCCCTTTCGTCGTTTATCCAACAAATTCACGCCCGGCCTGTTGTTGTTAAGCTAAACAGTGGTGTGGATTACAGAGGTGAGGTTATGTGTGTTTTTGAAGGGGGCTAAATTTTGACTTTTAGGCGTTTTGGCTTGTCTTGATGGTTACATGAACATTGCGCTGGAACAAACTGAGGAATACGTAAACGGACAACTTAAAAACAAGTTCGGGGATGCATTTATTAGGGGCAATAATGTGCTCTACATAAGTACACAAAAACGTCGAATTTAATGTATTTTTTGCAATAAAAAATTAAAAATCAAGATCATTCATTAAAGCGCACTGATCAGTTCGCGTAGAACTGTTATACAATTCAAATAATTCGTTATTTGAGTCACACTCTTGTTTCTTCCCTAAAACAAAGAAAATAATAATAATACAACGAAAGTGTCACAAAAACACTTACTTTTACTTTTAATGTGGCTACAATTCTTATATTTAAACTCATTCAATGTGATTGTGGGTGAAGTCGGGTAAAATTCGCAAATGAAGTCCAATTTAATTTTACAATTTATCGCCCTCCATGTTTTTTCAACATCTAACATAACACAGTCTTCTTTTCTTCGTCCTGGCCTTGGGTGGCCCACAGCCCAGGCTCGAAACCTCGTACACTGTAAAGAATTCCCCATTGGAGTCTCAAAACTCCCCTCAACACCGATATCATCAAGCCCGACGTAAGCCCCTTTGTACCAATTAGGCAAAGATTTGAGTAACCCTGCAAGGGAATTCGTCCTCGACTCACTCAAAACATCGGCCAAATCGGCCCCCAGACTCTGACAAGTAAGCGCAGCCCTAGTGTAGTTCATTTTCTCTTGAACCACTTGAAACAAACCGAAGGATTTGAGACAAGTCGCGTTGATTGTGGCTGAAATTATTCACAATAGTGCATCTCTCTCTAACACTCATCCCAAATTCCAATGGTCTTACAATATGGAAACTACTGTGTTGACGATTGACCACAACCATTAGAGAAAGAAAGTAAATACGAGCTTTGCCGTTGCTCAACAAAGACAGGGATATTATAGTTGCGTGACGTATGGCAAGAAAGCGCTCAAGTTTAGGCTGTTCAAAGCAATGACTTATTTTAAATTTCTCTTTTATTTTTTTATTCTCTCTTCTATTATGTTGTATGTTGCATTATTTACCACACCTTCCTTTATAAATCTTGTATGTTTCTAGCTTTATTCTTAACTTTATCACTCAATATCTCAACAACTATGCATCGTAGAGTATTCTAACTAGTTGAATCGTGTTCAGCGAGTAATTTTACGTCTAGAAAACCATATTTCAACCGTTTTTACGACTTATGGTGAATTTTACTACCGCTCTTTTGAGTCTTTAAGAAACGTTAAATGGATCAATTTTAAAGTTAAAAAATTTTTTGATTTTTGTCGAGATTTTGGTCGATTTTTGGCACCTGGAGCGGTCTAATGGCAATAACTTCGGGGTTATTGGAGATAACCCCTTATATTTGGTACCATTGGGTAGAAAATTGAATATTCTATCATATATTAAAAAGTTCAATGGTCTACGATGAATAATTATTGAGAAAATTTCTGATAAAGTCAAAAATATAAATCAGCTTGTAACTTCAAAACTATTAGGAATTTTTCAGTTTTCTTGACGCCAATCGATTCCCCGGAACATTTTACATAGGTTTACGTCAAAATATTATACCATTGAGACACAGTTTTGCCGCAATTTACAAAATAAATAAAAATAAAAATATGTCAGCTCTAAGTCTAATAGTTTGGCGTTAATCGCCGTTCAAAAAGTGAAAATTGTAAAAATTGTGAAACTTTAAACGCGTTTTTCTACGAAACTATAGGACTTAGAGCAAAAAGCTAAAAATCATTAAAATTAGCTTGATATTATCTATTTACTGGTGCAAACCGGAAGTCGCTCCGGGTTATGGYTCCGGGTACAGAGCCATTTTTAGTTTTTTCAAAAAAAAATTCATATCTCAAAAACTATGAGTCTTAGGTTAACAGGGTTTATACAGGCGTGTTCTCCGGTTAATTTTACATATAGTACTAGTTTTTCGTAAGAATAAAAAAATGTTGATTTTTTGATCATAATCGGATATACATAGTGCTTATGCTTCAGGTCTTATTCTTAACTTTATTACTCAATATCTCAAAAACTATGCATCGTAGAGTATTTTAACTTGTTGCATTTTGTTCAGCGCGTAATTTTACGTCTAGAAAACCATAATTCAACCATTTTTACGACTTAAGGTAAATTGACTATTTTTACGATTTCACTACCGCTCACCTTCAAAAACTCAAAAAATTCAAAATTTTTGAAACTTGACCCAATAACGTTTTATGCACTTATTTGAGTCTTTAAGACCTCTAGAAATGTAAAAAACGTTAAATGGATCAATTTTAAAGTAAACACATGTATGTGTTTTTTGCCCTACATCAGCTGATTCGCTATGTCTATCTCTTTCCTACACACATAGAGGTCAATAGCTCTCACTCTATTTGAGTTATATTGTAAGACCATTTCCTCACCCGTACAGTTAGAGTCGCCATAAGCGCTGTAGTAGTCATAACTGGGATCAAAGACAAACGTGGTCGAGTTGTGGGTCTCCGGACACCCCAAAACCTCACAACTTCGCACTTTTTCGAATGGAGGGGGGCTAAAATTGAACGCTAGCCCATTCTTGTCACGCGTGAATTGCATACAATCTTGCACGTTATCAAAATGCTTCCATGAAACGCTCGGTAGCGTCGACTTGTAACAACTTTTGATTTTGTAAAATTTGAGAAAACGCTCATTTTGGTCGCAGGTTTTGAGCGAGAGTGCGAAACCGACAAAGAGTGTCAACAGAAACATTGCAACTAACGTTTTTATTAAAATTTCGAATACAAAGCACCGGAAAGAGTTAATTTTACGAGACCAGTGATTCGTTCTCTTGCGCTTGGGCGTAATCTGATTCATTGGTGATTTTATTTCTTGTGCTAATCCGAACCGAAATGGCGGCTTCGATTTTCGTGTAGACTTCATTGGCGTCTTCGTTGGCGCGAATCTGGAATTTTGAGCGTGAAAATAACGATAACACAAGGCGATAAAAAAATGTCATGTCGTGACAACTTGATAAATTATGCAAGGTGATTCTTTTAGGGCCTACATTAGAAACTTTTAAACTTCTAATGCAGATAGGAATTTGAAATTTTGTGTCCAACCGAAATCAACCAGTCTGAGTTCAACTAAATTATTTTCAAAATGGCTGAACATCCGGAACTATGAGAAATTGGCGCCAACTTTGAAATTTTAAATGGTACCCACTTATTTTTATTGCATTTTTGAATTCTCCTTTTTAAGCTGAGTACAATGTACCTAGTTGTTAGTACTTATCTGTCATAGTTTTTGACATATGTCAATTTTTGGTCAAAATTTTCATTTGCAGAGGTTTATTAAAAACATCACAGCTCTTGAACCGTTTGCGATAAGTGAATAATTTTTCTTGCATTTGATAACCAAAGGTTCGAAAAGTTTTCTAGAATTTTCAAAATTGTCGACTGTCAAATTGCAAGGCTAGTATGATTTTTTGAAAATGATCATTAACAAACAGCTTTAACTCAGTTTTTTCAAATGAAATGACTCTATTTTCTCAACGGCAATCAAAACTACATCAATTTGTAGAAGGACTTTTATCAACATGTCCAATACCTATCTCTTACAGTTTTTGAAATAATCACAAAAAACATGTTAATGTTTTTATTTTTATAGTTAATCACGTAGGCTTTGGAAAAATACAATAAGATATACCATAATTAATACAGATGTTCGATATGTTTACCATTTTCAAAGAGTTCAAAACTCGATGGTGAACTGATTTGAGTGGCTTCCATTAGTTTATTTGGTTGAAGATTATTAAATGCCGCCTCAATCCTTGCCTCAATTCTTCATAATTCCGGATGGGTGTTGTGTAGACTAATAAATCTTTAGTTCGTCTTGATCATTTTCCAAAGCCTACGTGATTTACTATAAAAATAAAAAACAAAAACACGTTTTTCGTGATTATTTCAGAAACTGTGAGAGATGGATATAGGACATGTTGACAAAAGTCCTTCTACAAATCGATGTACTTTCGATTGCCGTTGAGAAAATGGGGTCATTTTATTTGAAAAAACTAAGTTATATCTGTTTGTTAAATATCATTTTTAAAAAATCATATAAGCCTTGCTATTTGACAGTTGTCAATTTTGAAAATTTTAGGAAACTCTTCGAACCTTTGGTTATCGAATGCAAGAAAAATTATTTACTTATTGCAAACGGTTCAAGAGTTGTGATGTTTTGAATAAACCTCTGCAAATGAAAATTTTGACCAAAAAATTGACATATGTCAAAAACTATGACAGATAAGTACTAACAACTAGGTACATTTTACTCAGTTTGGAGAGGAGAATTCAAAAATGCAAAAAATAAGTAGTTACTATTTAAAATTTTAAAGTTGGCGCCAATTTCTCGTATTTCCGGAAGTTCAGCCATTTTGAAAATAATTTAATTGAACTTAGACTGGTCGATTTGAGTTGTGTACAAAATTTCAAATTTATATCTGCATTAGAAGTTAAAAAGTTTCTAATATAGGCCCTAAAAGAATCACCTTGTATATTATTTTGTTCGTCTCAGTGAGACAAATCAAATGCACTAAAAAAAATTAAAAAGTCCACACACTTTGAACTAAATAATTTTTTTCTAATTTAAATGTATTTAAAATACTTTAACTTTATAAAATCATTACTCAATAACTATTAGGACGATTTCCTTCAAATAAAAACCATTCTAAAGGGATGGCCTTGCCCTTTAGAATGATATAAAATTTGAAATTGAATATTGGCAAACTTTTCTTCGAATAGTGTTCGAAAAAGTTCGAAGTAAATCAAAAAAATCTAAGAAAAACCCTACGAGTATTTTTTTTTTTTTCATCATTACCGTCGTGACCAAATTTTCAAAAGAATATACCGAGTAGTTTCAAGATATGATTTTTTTGAAGTAAAGGTTTGCTAATCAAGCATTGCTCCATATAGGAGCATGTTAATCTTACTTAAAATTGCATTTTACTTAAAATTGCATTTTTATAAATGTATTCGTTTTAAGACTCTTCTTTTGCTTAAAAATGGTCAATTGCACCTTCTTTGTTCTAATTACAAAAACTGTTTGTTTACTTAAAACAAATAAAGAGTACCTGCGTACTAATTAAAGCAAATAAAGAGTTTTTTTGTTGTAAAAATGACCTCTGATCATTGAAAAAAGAGGATCTAGAAGTTTCAGGCACGAGCTTTAAATATAAGGGCAAATCTTTTTCAAATCAAATCGCACTTTCCATTCAGATTTCGATTTCACTTTGTTCTAGCTTTCTGAACTTTTTTTGAAAATGTTCTGGGCAAATGCTTTCTCATCACTTTCGAGTGATGTTAAATGCAATAAGTCACCTGATTTATTTTTGGTACATTCTACGATTAGCTTCAGTTAGGTTGTAGGTAGTAGTTGTTGTGAAAACAGTTGCACACGATGCAACTGACTAATTGCATTCAACATCAGTAGAAAGTGATGAAAAAGCATTTGTTGAGAACACTTTCAAAAAAAAGTTCAGAAAGCTAGAACAAAGTGAACAAGTTGGAATCTGAATGGAAAGTCATTTAATTTGAAAAAGATTTGTTCTTATATTTAAAGCTACTGCTTTAAACTTCTAGATCCTTTTTGCTCAATGATCAGTGATCATTTTTAGAACAAAAAAACTCTTCATTTGCTTTAATTTGTTTGTTTTAAGTAAAGAAACAGTTTTTGATTATTCTAATTAGAACAAAGAAGGTGCCATTGACCATTTTTAAGCAAAAGAAGAGTCTTAAAACAAATACTTTTTTAAAAATGCTACTAATAAAAAGATGCTCTACATGATGGTGACAAAGAAAAAAAAAATTACTCGTAGGGTTTTTCTTAGATTACTTCGATTTACTTCGAACACTGTTCGAAGAAAAGTTTGCCAATATTCAATTTCAAATTGCATAACATTCTAAAGGGCAATTCCATCCCTTTAGAATGGTCTTTATTTGAAGGAAATTGGCATAATAGTTATTCAGTAATGATTTTTTAAAGTTAAAGTATTTTAAATTCATTTAAATTAGAAAAAAAATATTTAGTTCAAACTGTGTGGACTTTTTGAATTTTTTTTGAGACGAACAAAATGATATAAAATTTGTCAAGTTGTCACATGACTTTTTTTTGTCGCCGCCACGTTAGTGTGTACCTTTTCGATTTTGCTTCCGTACTTGGAAGTGCCATCTTTGACTTCTTTCGTGTAAGTGGTGATCGACTTTTTGATGACTTCGTCATCTAGTCGGCCTTCACTCTTGATTTTCTTCCGCCTCACCATCACGGGAACGTCACACGACAAGTAAATAATAGCGTCGATATCGTCAATTTCTTTAATAAAAATCGCTGCTTGTTTGCTATTCCTCGGGAAATTATTGATAATGTACCCTTTGCTATTTTCCGATTTTCTCAACATTTCCTCTTTGATCAAGTCGATGACGATGCAGTCGGGGATTTTCTTGGCCCTGTGGTGAAGCGCCTCGTTGATAAGCCGTCCCCTGTCGGTGTCCTTATCAGCTTCCTCTCTCAACAAGTCCGCCACTTTGATGTGCGAGAATTGTAAATTTTCTGATAACATTTTGGCTTGGGTGTTACGCCCCGATCCTGGCGGGCCTACCAGCCAAACGATGGGCAAATACTTTGATTTGATTGGGGTCATGTCATAGCGAAGTCTCTGCATGGTAGGCACCTGCTAAAACAGGAGTAAATCCTCGCGATTGGGCCCCCTGGAACTTACGTCATCGATGCAGGATAAAACACCGCCCATTTTCGTCGATTATCCCAACATGAAAATATTGATTGAAGGCAAAATGTCAAAGATTTGTTTTTGGGGCATAGCTGACTCGGTTTTTTTAGAGTGGATTAAAATGCGAGATGTAGAATTTGGAATTTTGATACGAACCTCGTAGCGGCGAGTGAGAGACAACGATTGCTTATTGAATTGTCTTGTCACGAGTCTTTTACTATTTTTTCAATTTTGGGCTTCTTGTGTTGTTTTTAAAGAAAATTTTTAAATTTAGGGAATTTTTTGGTCAGTTAGTGACAAACTGACGTTTGTCATTGTATGTCAGGGCCGTACCCAAGGGGGGGGT